TATATTTAAATTAAACACAATTACATTGTTTTATTTTAAGGTCATATTATCGAATTATCTTATTTTAACAGTAAAATACGCATTTCATTGGTAAACTGTCTCATTTACCTTCTCAAATTAAGGGTAAATACACTTAATTTAAGACATTTTTACTTATTTCTAGATCCTTTTTCCAGTATGTCGCAGCAGCAGCGTCTAGTTTATCCTGCTTTCTGCAGAAGATGATCATCCAGAGTTTCAGACACCATCTTTATGCGTGATGGACGGTGAATTATAAAACATGCATTTGTTAACGAGGACGATAGAAAGTTATGTAGAGAGCAAAGCGAGAAGCAACAGAGCTAAAAATCTGAAAATCCAGCTGCAATAAAATCCCCTTTTTCTCAGCTTCAGGCTCGACATTTAATTAGTTTTATCACAAGTCGTAACTCATTCAGACCGCAGGATTCAAACACACCTTCCCACCCACCCACCCACCCAGCCAGCCTGCTCCTCCCCCTGTCAGTGTTTGAGCTTCTCTGGAAACACCATCATCTGCTGAGCGTTTGCAGCATCTGTTCCTCTCCTTCCTGTCCGCTCAGCCGCTGTTGCATCTCAGTGACTCTTCCTGCAGCCTGTTTGTCAGCATTTCTATTATTTGACCAAGACTGAGGCTGAGAGAGGAGAGCAGGAACACCTCTAGATGCCCTCATCCTCACCTCAACCTTCTTATTAAACTCCAGAAAGTGGGTCAGTCTGTGTGTTGAGTAACCGGCCTGAAGGCTTGTTATTTAACAGAGGAAATGGGCGGCAATGAGTGAGCAGCAGCCAGGCTGACTGCACGCACATGGAGACAAACAGGCGCTTGTTATGCTTGGAGGAGAGCAGCTGATGCTAACGTCTTCATCACAGATGTTTTCTATCTTAGCTTTTCTGCTTCCCGTCACATCTGCACCCAGAATGGGTCAGTAGGACGGCAGAGGAGGCTGGCCGGCCTCCAGAGTCTGCAGCTGAAGGTTCTCCAGGTGTCACATGGACTAAATGGGTCAGAGACACAGGAAGTGGAGCTGGAGGCTGCAGCTCTGCAGCGGAGAGAAACTCTGATCACCTGGAGGCTTTCCCACAGGTGGAGCAGAAATGAAAACTAAAGGGATATTTCTAAATATATAAAGCTAACCGTGCATTCCAGAAAAGTTCAAATCAATCCTCTGGACTTTGTTTCCAAGTTTGAAGACGTTTCTCTTCCATCCAGGAAGATTTTTTCAATTCCAAATGTCAGAAATAGCGTTTAGTTCCAGGTTTTATCCAGCAGCCCAACAAAGCCTGGTTTTAGTTTAGAAAACATGCAAATAGAAACGGATGAACGGGTCCCCCCCTTTGGAATGGGGGTCGTTTGGCTTCTTTGTTAGCCTGCAATGCCCCATACCTGTCTATGTCTCTGAAAGGGGGGTCGTTAGAAGGAATAGTTGGTCTGGCTGAAGAGGTGAGGTCTTCTGTTCTCCTGTAATCACGTCCCTCTCAAACCACATGTCTTCTTTGTCCAGAATGTGAACATTCTGGTCCTCCAAAGAATGTCCTTTGTCCATCAGGTGTAGATGTAGCGCAGAGTCTTGTCCAGAGGAGGGCGCTCTTCTGTATTGGGCCATGCGTCTGTGGAGAGGTTGTCTAGTTTCTCCAATATAAAGATCAGAGCGTTCCTCCCTGCATTGAGCTGCAGACACTCTGCTCAGATTAGGATGAACTAGTCTCTGTTTGGTTTAAAATGTTCTGGGATTTAGTGTTTGGAGAAAATCCTCCTGCATTTTTCAGAGACTCCAGCAACACATGGGATGGTGTCTTCAAACTTGGAAACAAAGTTCAGTGGATTGTTTGTTTTTTTACATTTTTTGGAAAGACTCTGACCTGGATGAATCTGCAGCAGCATGTCTAACAGGGCATAACTGACATATCTGTAACCATAGGAAAATATCATGAGTCAAGCTGTAGAGTGCAGCTCAATGCTCCAACAAACACCCAAATTATAATTATTATGCTAATAGAACTCATTTGGAAGGATGAACTCTTATGTTAGAAACATTGCAAAAAAAGTTTGAAATCAGACAAACTAATTCAGGAAACCCAGATCCAAACTCCAAGATGGCTGCGGCTATAAAGCCCAGACTGCAAAAAGTTTCTAGAAATAAGCAATAAGTTTATTTAGCCTTAATTTGAGCAGCAAATAAGACAACCTGCCATGGCATCAGTATTTTTACTCTGAAAATAAGATAATTAGATAATATGCACTTGAAATTAGACAATGCAGTTATTTTTTTAGTTTTTATTAGCAAAGTGTCTCACTAACCTCCTCAATTTAAGAGAAAATGCACATATAAGAAAAAACTATGTATTAATATTAGCATTTTTCCCAGTGAGATCAGCTCTGTTTGGGTTCATTAAGCAGATGTTGGAGAAATTATGTTTAGATGAATAAAAACATCAGTATAAACTAAAATGGAAGAAAAGTATCCAGAATTGTTTATCTTGTGAGCTGCTGCTGGAGGTTGGATGGATGATGGGAGGTTTTGTTTATTCTAAGGGCTTCTGGGGTCTAAACGTCCCCCAGGTTCTCTGCACGGCTTTCAGACACTCTGAGGGGAATAAATGCTGATGTTATGGAGGAAGGCTGAGCTGCAGCCACCAACCAGGATCTGCTGCTGAACCTCAGCCTGACCTTCCATCAAAGCGGCCTGTCCTGCTTCCCAGAAAGCCTCTCCCTGATGCTGTAATGGGTAACTGGTGACACAGCAGCACCAGATGAAGCAGGAAGGCGGAGTGACGGCAGATTCCCCAAACATTGACCATATTCCTGAGATCTCCCACTTCTTCCCTAAACCAGCTGCAAACATCCAATCCGGTGGATTCTTTATGGGCTCATGGGCTTTCTGTCAGGGAATCAAACCATAACACTTTCTCTTACAGGAACTAGGAAACAAAGTCAGTTAAAACTTCTATCTAGTTTTAGGGGAAATCCTGCAGGTGATCCATTTCCTGCCAGCTTCTCCTCTGAAGCTAAGCTGGAACAGACCTGGAAGAGCAGTCAGGGTGGAGGAGGAGGACCCCTCCCTGATGATGACCCCCTCCCAAAACCATGACGCCAGCCTCTCAACTAGCTGATTTTGGCTCTTTGTGTTTTTATGGCCTGTTTTCAGAGCTGACCGATAAAGCCTTCCCTCATCTGGTCAGATAGAGATCAGAGGAGAGTGAGGAGCTACAGGTCACCTCTGAGCCGCGGCGGCAGGTCACCTCTGAGCCGCGGCGGCAGGTCACCTCTGAGCCGCGGCGGTAGGTCACCTCTGACCCGTGGCAGGTCACCTCTGACCCGTGGCAGGTCACCTCTGAGCCGAGCCGCGGCGGCAGGTCACCTCTGAGCCGCGGCGGCAGGTCACCTCTGAGCCGCGGCGGCAGGTCACCTCTGACACGCGGCGGCAGGTCACCTCTGAGCCGCGGCGGCAGGTCACCTCTGAGCCGTGGCGGCAGGTCACCTCTGAGCCGCGGCGGCAGGTCACCTCTGACATGCGGCGGCAGGTCACCTCTGAGCCGCGGCGGCAGGTCACCTCTGAGCCGCGGCGGCAGGTCACCTCTGACCCGTGGCGGCAGGTCACCTCTGAGCCGCGGCGGCAGGTCACCTCTGAGCCGCGGCGGCAGGTCACCTCTGAGCCGCGGCGGCAGGTCACCTCTGACACGCGGCGGCAGGTCACCTCTGAGCCGCGGCGGCAGGTCACCTCTGACACGCGGCGGCAGGTCACCTCTGACCCGTGGCGGCAGGTCACCTCTGAGCCGCGGCGGCAGGTCACCTCTGAGCCGCGGCGGCAGGTCACCTCTGACACGCGGCGGCAGGTCACCTCTGACCCGTGGCGGCAGGTCACCTCTGAGCCGCGGCGGCAGGTCACCTCTGAGCCGCGGCGGCAGGTCACCTCTGAGCCGTGGCAGGTCACCTCTGACCCGCAGCGGCAGGTCACCTCTGACCCGTGGCAGGTCACCTCTGACCCGTGGCAGGTCACCTCTGACCCGTGGCGGCAGGTCACCTCTGAGCCGCGGCGGCAGGTCACCTCTGAGCCGTGGCAGGTCACCTCTGAGCCGCGGCGGCAGGTCACCTCTGAGCCGTGGCAGGTCACCTCTGACCCGCAGCGGCAGGTCACCTCTGACCCGTGGCAGGTCACCTCTGAGCCGCGGCGGCAGGTCACCTCTGAGCCGTGGCAGGTCACCTCTGACCCGCAGCGGCAGGTCACCTCTGACCCGTGGCAGGTCACCTCTGACCCGTGGCAGGTCACCTCTGACCCGTGGCAGGTCACCTCTGAGCCGCGGCGGCAGGTCACCTCTGAGCCGCGGCGGCAGGTCACCTCTGAGCCGTGGCAGGTCACCTCTGACCCGCAGCAACAGGTCACCTCTGACCCGTGGCAGGTCACCTCTGACCCGTGGCAGGTCACCTCTGACCCGTGGCAGGTCACCGTTGAGCCGCTGTCCTGAAGTCACCTTGAGGATCCTCCAGCCTCCCCTGCAGCTCCTTCTGAGAATCCTGCACCCTGAGCTCCTGCCCTCATATCAGCAGCTGTGGTGGTTGGAGGCGTGGCCATCGGATGAGCTGATTCAGTTGTGTCTGTTTCCCACATGGCAGGAAGAAAAACAAGCTTTTAGGCCACTAGGGGGAGCCCTTCCTTTACTCTCCTCTTCCTCCACATAGCAAAGCACCAGAATGTGCACACAAAGCTGCTAATCTAAAGATGCTACTAAATGAAAAATATAACTGGAGATGTAACTACTTAGAATGAGCTGCAGGAATCAGTTTGCTGATGATCCGACATTTCCTCACACCAAGATGGAAGATAATGAAGTTAAGCTTTTTAAGATAATCTAGCTTCTCAGGATCCAGTTATTTTAAAACATTACACAACCAATGCAGACTGTCCTCTCTCTGATTTTCCTCCTTTGGACTCGTTCTTCTTCCTGAACCGTATTTTCTGGTTCCCCCTGTGCTGCTGCAGACCAAGCTGCCTGTGCTGCTCCTGGGCCGCTCCGCAGACCTGCGTCCTGGAGAGTTTGTGGTCGCCATCGGCAGCCCGTTCTCCCTGCAGAACACCGTCACCACTGGGATCGTCAGCACCACCCAGAGAGGAGGGAAGGAGCTGGGCCTCCGAAACTCAGACATGGACTACATCCAGACAGACGCCATCATTAATGTGAGTCATCATTGGAGGTTGGAGATCCAGATCTCTGCTGCTTCAGCCACACAGACTGAGATTAGATGAATCTGTTCTGATGAAAGCAGGAAGTTAGAACATTCTGAATATAAACCTGGGTAGAAATAATAAGGCTTCTCCACCATCTGCTTCCCTTTCTTGCAGTATGGGAACTCAGGAGGACCGCTGGTCAATCTGGTAAGTTTCATCCTGTGAATGTTTCTCTATAGATTCTATTTCTGCAATGATTCCAGACATGGTGGGACTGGGAACACGTCAGGAAACACGGTGATCTTTCCTGAGGCTCCATCTGGAATCCCTCCGCCTGAACAGACAGTCCTGGTTAAAGTCATAAACCCTGATATCGCCATGGTTACCGTGTTTCCATGCTACCATCCTACCAACCTAATGTCTCTGGATTCAACGTCAGCCTCAGAGTATTAGGATCAGGTGTGGACTTTGACTAGACCATTCTCCAGCTTTCTAAGGCATTCCATTATTAACTAATGATTGTTAGCTGATGGTTGTTAGCTGATGGTTGTTAGCCGATGGTTGTTAGCCGATGGTTGTTAGCCGATGGTTGTTAGCCGATGGTTGTTAGCCGATGGTTGTTAGCCGATGGTTGTTAGCCGATGGTTGTTAGTTGATGGTTGTTAGTTGATGGTTGTTAGCTGATGGTTGTTAGCTGATGGTTGTTAGCCGATGGTTGTTAGCCGATGGTTGTTAGCCGATGGTTGTTAGCCGATGGTTGTTAGCCGATGGTTGTTAGCCGATGGTTGTTAGTGCCCTAGACAGGTCGCCAGTCTGTCCAGACCTTTGGTAGAAATGGCGCCTTTAATTCCAGTTTGCAGTAGAGAACAGAGAAAACTACAGAGTTTTCAATGTTGTGTTAATCTGTTTATAGTCTAAAAAGAGGAGCCAGCAGTTTATTTGAGGAAATAAAGGTGCAGAAGTTAATTAGTTGGTTAATTAGTGGTTGTGCAGCGGAGTGCGGCCGGCACTGCTAAGAATTAAAATTAACTCTCCCTGTGGTTTTAACTAACGATGAGGATCGCGGCAGGTATAACATTCCTGCTGCTGCTACGCTAGCCAAAAAACATTTTGGCTAGCGTAGCAAACGTCTAGAAAGTTAGCAGTTAAATATTGGATGAGTGATCATCCCAAGACTACGGAAGAGGATTAGGGCCACTGAAAAAAAAAAGTTAAATGATTTTTAAGTTTTATTTCAGTTTAATATGAGAAAGAAGTCAGAATTCTGACTGAAATGGCATATTAGCTGTTCTATGAGCCCTAATGCAGCCTGGTTAAAAGCCCTAGAATGAAACCACAGCTTTTCTTCCTTTTATGGTTTGATCATGAATATTTAGATGAGCTGTGCTCTGATTGGTTGGTTTACAACGAGCCAAGCTGCTGAGCAAAGACGCATCATAGCAACAAGCACTCACTCACTGAAACATCAGATTGATGATATGGTAGGGGGACCAGACGTCCTCTTTTTCCTGGACATGTTCTACTTTTCACGCCTAAAAAAAATGTCAGGGGGGGATTTCAAAATCGTCCGGGATTTTGGTCGCCTGCAGTGCAGCAGAACCGAGCCGTCAGCTCCGGGGCTGGTCAGAGAACCCCGGCAGACGGGGGAGGGAGCCAGCGGAGGACGGAGCGACCGAACCCGATCCGGTGACGGTAGCCTGGACACCTGCGGCCCTGTGCTTCCCCCCCCCCCCCGCCTGTCTTACCGCCCCCTGGAAATTTAGAATTTGCAGAAAAATGTGGCGTCGATGGCGTTTGACTTCTCCGTACATCAGTCGTTTTTCATCTATGACAACGGAAACTGCCCCTCTACGTCCTCCTGGGGTTCTGGAAACCCTTGGCAGCCAATCAGCTGCAGGCTGCTGAGCTGTGTGTGTTTCCCCTGCAGGATGGAGAGGTTATCGGCATCAACACTCTGAAGGTCACGGCAGGAATCTCCTTCGCCATCCCATCAGACAAGATCCAGCAGTTCCTGGCAGAGTCCCATGACCGGCAGGCTAAAGGTTAGCTTCACCCCGCTCAGCACTGGTGGACAGAGGGATCAGGACTGATGGGAGCCTCCATCAGTCCTGATCCTGCAGGGATTAAAGTCTACAGTGAGACGTTTTCATCCAGTTTGTCACATCAGCTTTGCTGGTTTAAGTATTTCCCTTTGAAGGATGCTAATGATGCTGTGTTTGTGTCCCTCAGGGAAAACCTTCCCCAAGAAGAAATACATCGGCGTCAGAATGATGAGCCTCACTCCGTCGTAAGTTTGTGATCCAGACCGGCATCATGGCTGATATCAGACTGAAAATGTTTCTGTTGAGCTTTAAATACCTGCTGCTGGTTCTGAACTGCAGCCGGTCAGTGATGGAGACGGAGTGAGAGTTGGAGAAATGGCCAGAATTAGACATCAAGGTTTCAGAGTGCTGAATGCCACAGCATTGACTGCATGAGACACAGAGTGGGTCAAATATCTACAGACCCAGTTTTTCATGAGACTCTGGCTGCAGACCTGCACTGTCGGGACCGGAAGTTTAGGGAATAGCACGCGGCATGTGTTTGCTGCCAGATTAGGGTTTATAACCGTGTTAATCTGAGCATAGGAGCAGTTTAAATTATACAGTGAGCAAAAATCCTCATAGGACAGCTAACCTTCATTGTCATATAAAAAATGTCCTTTAGACCAGCGGTCCCCAACCTTTTTAGCGCCACGGACCGGTTATATGTTAGACAATATTTTCACGGACCGGCCTTTAGATACGATCAAATAAAGTGATACGACTGGCATAAAATCAAATACGAACAGCATTAAAATAAACTCACCATTATGTTGAATTAGTGAGAGCCCTGAGCTTGTTAATCGGAGACAATGACACACGAAGTGCGCTCCTGATGTCCAGTCTGCTCCGTAGCTTTGTTTTGGTCGCTGTAACCACAGAAAATCCCGCTTGTGCGGCCCGGTACCAAATGACCGACGGACCGGTACCGGTCCGCGGCCCGGTGGTTGGGGACCGCTGTTCTAGACCAAATGCCCTTTTCCATCCAGCGATCTAAATACAGAGACTTATTTCTATGTAGCACATATCTATTATTCAGCATAACAACACTTGCTAGCTTCACAGGCAGTTTATCAATGCTAGCTTTTATTTTAGAAAGGCTCTGAATCAACTTGGCAGGAGACCTCATGGTGCAGGTCTGCAGCCACACCCCTCTCCAGCTTTTGGCCGTGCATACAGCAGGAGGCAAAAAAAACCCGCTGGTCAATGAGAGATAAGGAGGCGTGTTTAAAGTCGTAGGGAAATCATATTTAAATGTCAAATCATTCTGTTCACGGGGATGGACGTCTGTGTCTTCGGCAGGCGTAGAGCTAACAGAACTGGCAGCGTTGCGAGGCAAGGGCTCAAACATGTACGGCTGGAAGCCTTCTACACCAAACCAAGCTTCTGCCGCCCTGGCGTCCTCTTCCACAACATCTTCGTCCCCGCTTTCCTCCTCTAAATAAAAAATGGATGACGGAGGAGACTCATCCACGACCTCCGACACTAAACTCTCCTCCTCTTGCATGTTTCCGCTGTCCATAGCGTTCCTTGACAGCGTCGTTTCTAAGTCACCAATTTAGTGCTACTTGGTCCCAATGGAATTTCCCATTGGGAACCTGCTAGCACTAAGATGCTAACTGCTTAGCAAGATGCTTCAGAGAAACCAGCCACAACCAAACTTGCTTGCCAACATTCCGCCACAACAATCCCGCCCCCTTGGTAATCGACCAATCACATTCACTTTATTCACCTGTAAAGTCGGGCACCACTGGGAGAATTTGGAAATGCAACGATTGGAACGGCCGCTTCCCTACGACTTTAACATCTAGCGATACATTTATCTCCGATCAGGACAGACTGACTGTGGATGATCCCACTCAGGGTGACGTTTTGTGGGTTTTTTCCCCACCAGGCTGGCGAAGGAGCTGAAGGAGAGGCATTCAGACTTCCCAGACGTCGCTTCAGGGGCGTACGTCATCGAGGTCATCAGCAGAACTCCAGCTGAGGCGTGAGTCTAAATGTTTGAACTGATTCTGAGATGCACAGCCGGAGATTTTGAAAGAAAATAGACTTTCTAAATTCCTCTCTGTCTGAAAGCAGCATTAAGGGGGATTAACAGCAGACCTGAATCCGTTCTTGGCTCAAACCTTCAGTTTTTCTGTTTCTGTGCTGCTGGTCTTATGGCGTTAACCATTGTCCAATAGAATAGTGGCTTCCTCCTGATTGGCTATGCTTTGAGTCAATCAGGGTGAAGCAGAGAGCTGTTTGTTTCTAACCAATGGGATCTCTCTGTGACAGAGCCGGCCTGAAGGAGAGAGACGTCATCATCAGCATCAACGGAGAGCCCGTCGCCTCGGCGAGCGACGTCAGCAACGCCATAAAGCGGGACGACAAGCTGAAAACGGTGGTGAGGCGGGGCAACGAGGATGTCATCCTCACCATTGTCCCCGAGGAAATTGACCCTTGACCTCTTACCTGACGCAGCAGCCAATAAGCATCAGAGCTGAAGCAGTCAACCAATGGTGGGCTGGCCTTCGGAGCTTCTCGACCAATCAGGAAGTCTTGATTTCCTCGGGCATCAGTCGGAGGTTGCCTGAGTGCCAGGCTGCACCCAGGAACGTCCCCTGCTCTCTAGAGCCCCCCGCTCTGAGGGGCCCCTTCCTTCCCTGCCATCTTGGCTCTTCTCTACTCTGCAATTACTCTCCATCATCAATCATCTTTATAACCTACTAACATCCTGCCCAGAGAGGTTACTGCAGGTCACCGTAGTTCTTCATGTACAGCACGTTCCCCTTCAGGAGGGAATCTTTTTCTTAAAGTGTTTTTTGACTTTGTGTTTGATGACAATGTTGTCAAAAAGAGGGAATAAAATTATTTTTGAGAAAAACATTTGTGTCGTTCTGATTCACAGCTAAAGATGGTGGATGCAGAAAGCCAGGAAAGGAATCCATGTTTTATTGATGTCGCTTTAATCCCTTCATTCAGCCGAGGAACAGAAAACGGACCATTAGCTCGACGCATCAATCCTGCAAAATGAATTAGAGGAAACATTTTGGTTTGAAGAAGTGAAAATAAATAAAGACCATGTTTCCCTGGGGAAGAGATATGATGTGGCACAAATGGTCAAAGGCTGAGGGCCACATCAAGGGTACCGAGACGTAGGAAGGGCGACCATTACTGACCCATGAGCTGCAAGGGTTAGCGTTAGCCTAAACTTTGCACATTATCAACATATTTTAATTGTTTCTGTTAATTTCTAAGTTTATTTAGACATTGACATTTTGAAATCTATATAAATTATTAAAAAGAAGAGCAACAGAATAAAATAAAATTTCAAACTTAGCCCACTGGTGGGTTGTTCTTTATTTAGAAGACTCTGAGGGCCCCCCATGTGGTCCTTGAGGGCACCGCGTTGGTGACCCCTGGTCTAGTGGATGCAGTGGACTCAATGTCCCACAATGCACCTTGAAAAGCAGTGATCATCCATGGTCACTAGGTGAGTAGATATATCCCAGAATGCTTTGCAGGAGCTTTCTTCACAAAGCAGCATGGGATTTCTTTGGGGGATGAAAGAACAAAGAAGTTCACTATAAAGTTAACTACAGTCCCCGCTCTATAGTGATGGAGGGATTTGGGGGTTAGGGCGGACGGACGGACGCCGCCCAAGACTCTCGAGCCGCGGTGGAGGAACCAGAATCGGTTCTAACTGAATAGTGCGGGTAGTTAGGAAGGAGCAGGACGCTTCCTGCCACCAATGCACATCCATGAAGATTCTCAGTCTTCCAGGTCCTGATCAACCTTGAACGGTTCGGTTAACTGGACGTGAAGTTTTCTAAAGATGGCTCTCATCCAAGAGGCTGCTTCAGTTCAAACGGTGGGAAGAACTGAAGCAGCTTCTTGGATGAGCAGCAAAATGGAAGGCTGCGGATGTTTCTCTGTCACTAGCAGACGGACGGGGGTGCAGTTCTGTCTTTTCTTTTTTTAACGTTGCTTCTCCAGCCTTTCACTGCAAAAACGATCTAGAAATTCTTAAATTAAGTATATTTAGCCTTGGATTGAGCAGGTAAATAAGATGTTACTCTGGCCCCTGGCTGGAACCACGACATCCTGAAGAACAGAGACTTTCTGAACTCTGACCCCTCCACCTGTGGCGCCCTGTGTGTGTGTGGGGGGGTCCCTGTAGAAGTGGAGCAGGAGTCTGGTCCTCATTGACCTGTTCTAGTCCATACTGGGCTCCATCAGCGCTGCCCTCTGGTACCAGTTTTTGTTCGGATCCTTCATGGACTGGATTCTAGGAGCCGCCAAAGACCAGACAGGGTCTGGATCAGGGACTTTTTGAGGATGACGTAGTTCTGCTGGTTCCTTCCTGCCAGGACCTCCAGCAGGAAGTGGGCGGGTCGCTGCCCAGAGTGAAGCTGATGGGTTGAAGATCAGCTCCACGGTCGTCCCGTTCATCCGTTTCTATTTGCATGTTTTCTAAACCAAAACCAGGCTTTGTTGGGCTGCTGGATAAAACCTGGAACTAAACGCTATTTCTGACATTTTGGATTAAAAATCTTCCTGGATGGAAGAGAAACGTCTTCAGACTTGGAAACAAAGTCCAGTGGATTGATTTTTAACTTTTTAGGAAGTTCTTATTTCCTGTCTCACATCTGGAAAAAATCCGAAATTAGGTTTGTCTTTTTTTAATTGACTTGAAGTGATAAAAAAATCCAAAAAAACTGTAAGAAAAAAAGATCTGCTTTCACATCCATTTCTGGTGAAAAATGAAATAAATGTAAAAAACAAACAAACCAACTTTTAGTGTTTTTTAAGGTTAAATAATGTGAATTCCTTTGAGCGTTTCATTCTGCTTTCTGCTCTTTCAGCTCAGATCCGTTTGCTGCTTCATCAGAGATAAAAACCTTCCTGAAGACGCAGCTTCATTTGTATTAAACTCATTTTATTCATTATTTACATCAGTACAGGTTAACTTCAGAGGTGAAAAATCAGTTTAGCTTACAGTCATTTACAGTTTGCAAAACATTACAGTGTGTCATTAAAATAAGTTACATCTTCAATCAGACCATTGATGACTTTTCCAGCTGATTTCCAGGCTGCTGGTCTGACTTCCAGTTAGATCTTTACAGCCTGATGCTGCTGCTCAGTGGAAGGGAAACTCCTGCAGGTACAGCTGCACCAAGCAGACAGAGGAGGAGCTGCTAACAACCTGCTTTAGTTCAAAATATCTGGATCTTCCCAGTGGATTACTGCGTTCATTCTGTGAGAGAATTAAAAATCTAACTGCAGCTGAGATCAGCTAACGAAGGAGATGAGTGAAGATGATCCTGTAGGCAGAGTGAGTCTAACGTCCCTGAATCTGTTCTGAACTTACAGCCATGGCCGCCTTTATACCTCGCTCTGAACAGGAGATCTCATTAAGAGACACAAAGCCGACCTTAAAGAGACGCCGAAAGGAGGTCTAAAGGAGGTCTAAAGGAGGCCTAAAGGAGGTCTAAAGGAGGTCTAACGGAGGCCTAAAGGAGGTCTAAAGGAGGCCTAAAGGAGGTCTAAAGGAGGTCTAACGGAGGCCTAAAGGAGGCCTAAAGGAGGTCTAAAGGAGGCCTAAAGGAGGCCTAAAGGAGGTCTAAAGGAGGTCTAAAGGAGGCCTAAAGGAGGTCTAAAGGAGGTCTAACGGAGGCCTAAAGGAGGTCTAAAGGAGGCCTAAAGGAGGTCTAAAGGAGGTCTAACGGAGGCCTAAAGGAGGCCTAAAGGAGGTCTAAAGGAGGCCTAAAGGAGGCCTAAAGGAGGTCTAAAGGAGGTCTAAAGGAGGTCTAAAGGAGGCCTAAAGGAGGTCTAAAGGAGGTCTAAAGGAGGTCTAAAGGAGGCCTAAAGGAGGTCTAAAGGAGGTCTAACGGAGGCCTAAAGGAGGTCTAACGGAGGCCTAAAGGAGGTCTAAAGGAGGCCTAAAGGAGGTCTAACGGAGGCCTAAAGGAGGTCTAAAGGAGGTCTAAAGGAGGTCTAAAGGAGGCCTAAAGGAGGTCTAAAGGAGGCCTAAAGGAGGTCTAAAGGAGGTCTAAAGGAGGTCTAACGGAGGCCTAAAGGAGGTCTAAAGGAGGCCTAAAGGAGGTCTAAAGGAGGCCTAAAGGAGGTCTAAAGGAGGCCTAAAGGAGGTCTAAAGGAGGTCTAAAGGAGGTCTAAAGGAGGCCTAAAGGAGGTCTAAAGGAGGTCTAAAGGAGGCCTAAAGGAGGTCTAAAGGAGGTCTAAAGGAGGCCTAAAGGAGGTCTAAAGGAGGTCTAAAGGAGGCCTAAAGGAGGTCTAAAGGAGGTCTAAAGGAGGCCTAAAGGAGGTCTAAAGGAGGTCTAAAGGAGGCCTAAAGGAGGTCTAAAGGAGGCCTAAAGGAGGTCTAAAGGAGGCCTAAAGGAGGTCTAAAGGAGGTCTAAAGGAGGCCTAAAGGAGGTCTAAAGGAGGTCTAAAGGAGGCCTAAAGGAGGTCTAAAGGAGGCCTAAAGGAGGTCTAAAGGAGGCCTAAAGGAGGTCTAAAGGAGGTCTAAAGGAGGCCTAAAGGAGGTCTAAAGGAGGTCTAAAGGAGGTCTAAAGGAGGTCTAAAGGAGGCCTAAAGGAGGTCTAAAGGAGGCCTAAAGGAGGTCTAAAGGAGGCCTAAAGGAGGTCTAAAGGAGGTCTAAAGGAGGTCTAAAGGAGGCCTAAAGGAGGTCTAAAGGAGGTCTAAAGGAGGCCTAAAGGAGGTCTAAAGGAGGTCTAAAGGAGGCCTAAAGGAGGTCTAAAGGAGGTCTAAAGGAGGCCTAAAGGAGGTCTAAAGGAGGTCTAAAGGAGGCCTAAAGGAGGTCTAAAGGAGGCCTAAAGGAGGTCTAAAGGAGGCCTAAAGGAGGTCTAAAGGAGGTCTAAAGGAGGCCTAAAGGAGGCCAGCAGCTGCTGATTGGACGGCGCCTCTACTGGAGGGACGGCACCTCTGACACTAAAGGTGTAAATAGTTGAAAATGGACAACATCCAGATGATCAGAACAGCGACGCTCAGAGGTCTGAACAACTTTGAGTTAAGATGCTGATAATCTGGATTATATTAATCTGAATGTTAGAGAGCAGCACAGGAACTTTCTCTGTTAGGCTGTTTAACGGTTTGCTTTGAGCTCTTCCATCACTGATCCCGCCTCCCTCTGCTGGTTCATCAGTCAGAGCCTGGATGGACGCTGAGCTGCTGCTGTTAGTCTGCTGCTTCCATCCGGGTCACATCCGGAGCCTCCGGAGTCAGATGGTCCCGGCTCGGTGTGCTGGCGCCGCTGGGCCGCCGTGCTCCGATGGAGCGGGCGATCCGCCCCCAGCGCCGTGGTTCAGAGCCATCAGCAGAACCTTCTCCAGCTTCAGCTCCAGAGCGTCCAGCCGACGGTCCACGTGCTCCTTCAGCCTCCGCTCCATCTCCTCCAGACGGCGCTCCATGATCCAGTCACACTCACTGCGGAGAGACGGCACAGAGGACGCTGTCCTTTCAGAACCACCAACAGAACCGGTGATCAACAGGACCGAGGCAGTTCCCTTCCATCTACTTCAACATGTGGACCGCCCCGTTTCTGAGGCGGAACGATTAAACTACAAACAACTGGGAGAACACATCTGGGCTGGTTCTAGATTATATACATCTATCTAACGCCAACAGGCAGAACAACTTTCTATGAAAGAGAACAGATCATTTCAACCAGCAGGTTTAGTGTTTCAGAGGCTTTTCTAAACAGATCCGGCTCTGGAATCGTAACCTGAAGCCGGGAAAACTCTGAGCCACATTCTCATTGAACGGAGCTACAACTCAAACTGTACGATTAAACCTCAGGGTTTAAACGTTTACAGCTCACTATGCATGTCTTGCACTGTGCGGCCCAACGCTCTGATGCAACCTTAGGATTCCTGATGGGAGGTGGTTGTTAGACATCGCCCCTCGTTACCAGGGGATCACCATCAGGCTGAAAGTCGGACCGATCGAAAAATTCTCGCGCATCTGGAGAATCGGCCTGAAAAATCGGCCCGGCTTAAACCCATTCCTGACATCTCATGAAGTATTTAAAGGAGCGACCAAAGAAACTGATCCAACAACACTGATGGCTGAGGTGCGACCAGCTGAGACATCGAGCAAACATCTGGATTACTGGACCTTTATCCTGCATTTCTAAGCCTCTCATTACATCATTACAGGGATTTAATCCCTCTGGGATGGAGGAGGATTGATTAAAGGAAAAGTCGCTCATATTCAGAATTCAAACTTCTTAAAGTTCTTTAAATGTGAAATGATTCCATCCTGTTCAATAAATGATCAGTGTTTTTAATTCAGAGTAATTTTCATGTGAATGTGCTTTACTGGAGGCATCCATGTTTGTCAAAGAACACTACTGCCACCTACTGGTTAGTGACGTCACGGTGCGGTATCGGCTGTTGATCAAGTCCCAGTGCTGTATCTGGTGTTTGTCACAACGCGCTATTATCCAAGTCATCTTGAAAACATTCTTCTTCCAAATGTTGGCTACATATTACGGGTTTTTTCTCTGGCCAGAAGTTCGATGGCAAATCCTCCCTCTTCAAGTTGGCGATCCAACGACCAACCCGTCCGTGGAGGATCAGGAATCAGAAAGGTGGAATAACTCTTTTTTTTTTCACTTTTCCCCGATGTATTCCAGCATCCAGCTGCCATGCACGTGGGCATTGTCAGTTTCACTATAGCTCTGGTGAATTTCAATGGTGAAGTCCTCTGGAAATCTTCAACAATTGTTGTTGATTGCAGATGTGTCTAGTAGTTCCCATTGATTTAGCTTGGAAAGCGGGGAGAATGGCGCTAGGCTTACCGCACCGTGACGTCACTGAGAGGGAGGGGCTACTATGGCCATTTCTAAATTCACAAGAACACGAGTACGGACTCGTGTCCTCACCAAGTCTGTTCTTGACTAGAACCCAGTAGAGTCTGGACTCAGGGAGAACGCAGAATGAATGTGGGTCAACTGGAACAGCAGCGTACTGATGACATCACCACATTCAAAGCTCGTCTGGAGCTGCGTTTCACCTCCTGTTATTAATAGTCTCTAGATTATAATAAGTTAAGAATTTTTTCATTTACTGGTTGAATATTAAAGAACACGGTCAGAAAGCCCTGGCTGCCGTTGCCCTCGGCGACCGCTGGTTGCCACGGTCCTCTTAACTTCGGGTTTCAGTAAATGTTCCATACAGTGAAGCTTAAAGTATAATATTCTCGCCTCAAATGATCTTAAAGCGCACTTTTATTGAACAACAGGAACAGGAAAGAGAACTTTTAACTTAATCCTCTGAGCTCTGTGAGCGCTAACCTGGAAGCTGCTGCTGCAGTGCATGCTGGGACAGCTGTCAGTCTGGAGGACGGACAAGTCTGCTCTGATGCATGCTGGGTAAAGAGGGAGGTGCCAGAACAACATCCGGGGACTTTGTTCTGGTGAATTAGAACAGCACTAGGGCTGAGGATGATGGCGTTTCACGAGGACACACAAGTACACATAGTGAGAATCGGCCTATATTTTGGTAAAAATGGCCGCTCCCAGACTCATCATGACGGAAATTATTATTTTCATTTTTTAACTGATTAACACTAAATGAATGAAATCACAGTGAACGTATTAGTTTTAGGTAAAGATAATGATCCATTAATTTTCCTGCTGACTGAACTTTTCCTTTAATAGCTTCATTATTTCTCCATCAGACAGAAACGTTCAACCAGCTGAGAGTCTCAGTGGAGTCAAACTGTTTCACTCACCGACTTCCTGCAGCAAACTGGAAATCTCACCAGACAGTAAATAATCAACCAGCAGAAGCCTAAAGCTGTAAACAGTTTGTTATTCTTCGACGGGAAGACGTACCGTGGAGCTGCGTTTCTCTCCAAACATGGAGTCACACCCAGCTGACCTCTCAGCCCCCCCCCCCGCAGCTCGCCTCACAAAGGGAGCCATTCAAAGAGCTGCGGTCCTGCTGCTTCCATCAGACCCAGCAGGACAGCAGCTCTTCTTTCAGTCTGAGCATTTTAACATCGGCTCACTGATCGGCTCTGCTGACTGGAAACCAAACCAGTCCTTCTGGTTTGGTTCAGGGGATCAAACCTGCTCCAACCAGACCGCTGGCCCATGATGGCAGCCCATGATGGCAGCCATCTTGGAGCGCTACCAGCACTTCCTGCTTTATCTTACAGCGTTTAAGGTTTTCTCCCATGAAATCAGAAAATAAACTCAAGAAGCAGAAGAATTGACTCCATTTCAGATCCAACCGGTTTCAGTCGACATGTTTGACGTTAAAGTTAAAAACGCAGCAGCTTCAGCTCAGCGTTCAGCTTCCGCCGCATCGTTTTCTCACTGAACGCTACCGGATGTTTCACAGCAGACTCCGCCCACCTGTTCCGCTCCCTGTCCAGCGCCGCCTCAGCGTTGTCCAGGCGAAGCTGTGTGACCTGTCCACAGACGCTCTGCAGCAGGGGCAGAAGGTCGGGGTTCAGCGCCTGCCCTTGGCCCCGCCCTTTCAGGAAGTGGGACATCATCTCCTCCAGCTGGGCGGGGTTCACCGGCCCCCCGTTTTCACTGCTCACTATGGATGAAAGAAACATCGGTTCCAGGAGCTGCTGACACTGGTAGGAAGCAGGAAGGATGCTGAGGCCGGCGGCAGCGGGCTCAGCATCCGGAGACGCTTACTGGTCTGACTGCAGCTGGTGTCTGACAGGGACAGGTCTGGGGAGGTGGAGCCCTCTGACGTCCCTCCGTTCTGAGACGGAGTCCGGTCTGCAGACCTGCTGGGCTCTGGAGGCTGGAAACACGTCCATAGAAAAAAGATTTCATTCTTCAGCAAACTGAAAACGTCTTCCTGCCAAAATAAATGGATTTAATAGAATTCATCTCCAATATAATGAAGTTTGGCTGATTTATTATAAATAAAAATAAATGTAAAGAAACTAAATCTAGAGAAACTTTATTGTATTTGATGCACATAGATTTTCAACAGAACCAGTGAAGTAACATGAGACTGCTGCAGTGGTTCAGGCCCAGTGTGAGGGATGAATCCGTTACCGTGGCGTCGGCAGCGTGGGGGGGGCTCCTGGCAGCGGCTGCAGTCGTTCCAACTCCTCCGACCAACGCAGAGAGAGCTCCACCGCCCATCAGCAGCGGCAGGAAGGCGCCCAGAGAGCCGCTCTGATTCTGGAGGACGAGACAATCTTTGAAACCCAGTCAGAGACCAGAACCTCCTACTGGTTCTTTAGGGAAGCTCCTCCCACCTTCTGCTGGAACCGCACCATGTCCATGAGGTTCTGAGCTCCAGGAGACAAGCTGGTCCCCATCTCCTCCACCAGACTCTGCACCTGCTGCAGGTCGATCCCCGGACCGCCGGCCGCAGCGGGCGCCGCCTCCTGCAGACCCACCACCACCCGACAGACCAGAACGCTGCTTCTACCCGCCAAGGAGAGCAGCTGAGAGGAAACGGAACAGGAACCGATCAGAACCCAAATCCTCCTGAATGGAGCCTTTTTCAGGGTCCGTGTCTCACCTTCGCCTCACATCCTGCTGACGGATCCTGAAGCAGCAGCTGCTTCCTGTAGAACGGGCCTCTGTCCGGCCTGCGGGACACAGAAACCCTCAGCAGCCGACCAACAGGCAGGGGCGCCGTCAGACGCAGAACCATGCAGGCGGCTAGGCTACGTTCACGCTGCGGGCCTTATGTTTTGCGTTGCCGTTCACTACTCCAAATATCTGCGACGTGTATGCGATCTGCTGTGTGAACGTCACAAGCCAGCGTGCTCTGAAGCAAACATGGATGGTAGCGCTGGAGCGCATCTAGCGATCGTTACTAACATTAAAATCTCAATCTTTTCAGGATGGTTAAACATAAAAATTGGGTTAAAATCAGAATTAAAATCTGTTAAAGTCGCTAAATAATCAGAGTTGATTTCTGCTGTTACTGAATAAAAGATTGGTCTCCTCAGAGGAGCCGATGGTTCAGACTGCAGGAAGGACATCAGTCTGCTACAGGTTCCCACAGCATGATGCACCCTCCACCGTGCTCCAGTCTCAAAAACTAGAAATCTAAAAGTGCATTTTTCTTGAATTGAGAAGTGAGACACTTTGCGTATGGAAACAGAAAATTTACATTTAAAATAAGAAAAACTAATTGCATTGTCTTATTTAAAGTGCATATTATTTCATCATCTTACTTTAAATGTAAATATACTCCATTGGCAAATCTTCTTATTCAACTGCTCAAATTAGGGGTAAATAAACTAAATTTAAGACATTTTTACTTATTTCTAGATGGTTTTTGCAGTGCTGGTCCTGACTGGCCTGCAGCAGAATGCAACATTCTTCCCAACCTCTTACAGCTGAGCAGGTCAGAGGTCAGAGGTCAGGTTTAAGGGAACAACGTGTCATTGATCTCCTTCACTTTGAGTAAATGCATGAAAATATGATCCATTTTGTGGCTTCCTGTACCTGTCCCACTGAAGGCTCTGGACCTTCGTGCCCCGCACCGTCCCACAGTACTCCTCCTGCTGGTTGTAGACCTCCATGGTTCGAGCTTCACTGATCACCATCAGGCTGCTGATGGAGGCAGAGGAGCTGCAGCTGAGAGCGAGGATGCAGGGAGAGCCTTCCTCCTGCTGCTCCAGCAGCACTGCAGTGGCTCTGCAAGAGACAGAGCAGACGTCAGAACATGGGCCCTCTCTGCTCTGCTGGAAATAACAGATCCTGGTACGAACAACGTCCATTTAGAGAACTTACTCATCGGCATCTCTGTCAGACTGACTGAGGTCGTCTTCATCATCTTCTGTGTTGCTCAGATGAACAGGAAGAAGGACGTCCGCCAGCTGACCTCCCTGACTCTGACAGGCCCAGGCTGCTCCGCTTTTCACCCTGATGTCCACCATGGTGCTGCAGCTGGAGCAGCTGCCTTCAAGGCAGCGACACGAGTCGACTGAAGAAACAGGCTGGAGGTAAAAACAAACATCTCGCTGAAAGACTCAGCAGGCGGGCGGGGTGTTTCTCATTAAGCCACTTAGGCTTTCATCTTCTACGTAACAGCAATCAACCACGTAACCAAGACCCTGAGCCTCAGCAGGTTCCTTAATAACAATAAACAGGATTTATAAAAATTGGATGCTCCCAAATAAATAATCAAAATATAAAACTTAATAATCAGGGTTAATTTCAGCTAAAATCAGTAAATAATCAGGGTTAATATCAGCTAAAATCACTAAATAATCAGGGTTAATATCAGCTAAAATCACTAAATAATCAGGGTTAATTTCAGCTAAAATCACTTAATAATCAGGGTTAATTTAAACTAAAATCACTAAATAATCAGGGTTAATTTCAGCTAAAATCAGTAAAAAATCTGGGTTATTATCAGCTAAAATCAGTAAATAATCAGGGTTAATATCAGCTAAAATCAGTAAATAATCAGGGTTAATATCAGCTAAAATCACTAAATAATCAGGGTTAACATCAGTTACAATCACTAAATAATCAGGGTTAATATCAGCTAAAATCAGTAAATAATCAGGGTTAATATCAGCTAAAATCAGTAAATAATCAGGGTTAATATCAGCTAAAATCACTAAATAATCAGGGTTAATATCAGCTAAAATCAGTAAATAATCAGGGTTAATATCAGCTAAAATCACTAAATAATCAGGGTTAATATCAGCTAAAATCAGTAAATAATCAGGGTTTATTTAAGCTAAAATCAATAAATAATCAGGGTTAATATCAGCTAAAATCAGTAAATAATCAGGGTTAATATCAGCTAAAATCACTAAATAATCAGGGTTAATTTCAGCTAAAATCACTAAATAATCAGGGTTAATATCAACTAAAATCACTAAATAATCAGGGTTAATATCAGCTGAAATCACTAAATAATCAGGGTTAATATCAGCTAAAATCAGTAAATAATCAGGGTTTATTTAAGCTAAAATCACTAAATAATCAGGGTTAATATCAGCTAAAATCAGTAAATAATCAGGGTTAATATCAGCTAAAATCACTAAATAATCAGGGTTAATATCAGCTAAAATCAGTAAATAATCAGGGTTTATTTAAGCTAAAATCAATAAATAATCAGGGTTAATATCAGCTAAAATCAGTAAATAATCAGGGTTAATATCAGCTAAAATCACTAAATAATCAGGGTTAATTTCAGCTAAAATCACTAAATAATCAGGGTTAATATCAGCTAAAATCACTAAATAATCAGGGTTAATATCAGCTGAAATCACTAAATAATCAGGGTTAATTTAAGCTAAAATCACTAAATAATCAGGGTTAATTTCAGCTAAAATCACTAAATAATCAGGGTTAATATCAGCTACAATCACTTAATAATCAGGGTTAATTTAAGCTAAAATCACTTAATAATCAGGGTTTATTTAAGCTAAAATCACTAAATAATCAGGGTTAATATCAGCTAAAATCACTTAATAATCAGGGTTAATTTCAGCTAAAATCACTTAATAATCAGGGTTAATATCAGCTAAAATCACTTAATAATCAGGGTTAATTTCAGCTAAAATCACTTAATAATCAGGGTTAATTTCAGCTAAAATCAGTAAATAATCAGGGTTAATTTAAACTAAAATCAGTAAATAATCAGGGTTAATTTCAGCTAAAATCACTAAATAATCAGGGTTAATTTCAGCTAAAATCACTTAATAATCAGGGTTAACATCAGTTACAATCACTAAATAATCAGGGTTAATATCAGCTAAAATCACTAAATAATCAGGGTTAATATCAGCTAAAATCACTAAATAATCAGGGTTAATTTCAGCTAAAATCAGTAAATAATCAGGGTTAATATCAGCTAAAATCACTAAATAATCAGGGTTAATTTCAGCTAAAATCAGTAAATAATCAGGGTTAATATCAGCTAAAATCACTTAATAATCAGGGTTAATATCAGCTACAATCACTTAATAATCAGGGTTAATTTCAGCTAAAATCAGTAAATAATCAGGGTTAATTTCAGTTAAAATCACTAAATAATCAGGGTTAATATCAGTTAAAATCACTAAATAATCAGGGTTAATATCAGCTAAAATCACTTAATAATCAGGGTTAATTTAGGCTAAAATCACTAAATAATCAGGGTTAATATCAGTTAAAATCACTAAATAATCAGGGTTAATATCAGCTAAAATCACTTAATAATCAGGGTTAATATCAGCTAAAATCACTTAATAATCAGGGTTAATTTCAGCTAAAATCAGTAAATAATCAGGGTTAATTTCAGCTAAAATCAGTAAATAATCAGGGTTAATTTCAGCTAAAATCACTAAATAATCAGGGTTAATTTCAGTTAAAATCACTAAATAATCAGGGTTAATATCAGTTAAAATCACTAAATAATCAGGGTTAACATCAGTTACAATCACTAAATAATCAGGGTTAATTTCAGCTAAAATCACTAAATAATCAGGGTTAATTTCAGCTAAAATCACTAAATAATCAGGGTTAATTTCAGCTAAAATCACTAAATAATCAGGGTTAATCTCAGCTAAAATCACTAAATAATCAGGGTTAAAATCACTAAATAATCAGGGTTAATATCAGTTAAAATCACTAAATAATCAGGGTTAATGTCAGCTAAAATCACTAAATAATCAGGGTTAATTTCAGCTAAAATCACTAAATAATCAGGGTTAATATCAGCTAAAATCACTAAATAATCAGGGTTAATATCAGCTAAAATCACTAGTTAATCAGGGTAAATATAAGCTAACAGCTAAGCTTCCTGCTAACAGTCCCATTTACCGTAAATCGGTCTCGGTTTTTCCCGCCGTTCGGCGCTTCTCACTCCGACATCTTTCCTACGTCACTGTGCACGTTTCAGACAAATTCACTTTAAACTGAAGCAAGGATAAAAAATAAGATTGAGTAAAATAATCTGGTTGTTTCTGACAGCCTTCGTCGGTGACGTAGCACTATGCGACGCTGCAGCCTAGCAGAGCCTTACAGATAACAGAGTTCCGACAATTCTATTGGCGACAGAAGAGCAATGGCGGCGCCCAGAGCTTCGATAGTTTAATAAAAGTTAGCGGTTCATGCTAGCATAGTCACAGACTTTAGTAAACCGGGCTGAACTACAGGAAAATAGAAACAGATCTTAAATATCACATCTGCTCTCTCCGGTCTCCATGGCTCTGCAACATATTTTGACGTTGCTGTGACGCAATCAAACAGCGACTGGCTCTATGGCGTTATTTTGGTAAGAAAAATGAGTTTTCATTTGATTAGATGTTATTTCTTTATTCAGGAAGAATGTTTGTTATTTGGAGGCGGCTTCCTGTTACAGTCGGTTTGTTTACTTTATTGAATCTTTATTTCAGTTTTAGATTGAATGCTGTAATTCTTTCCTTTAAAAGAAAATGTGTGTTTTTCTGTCCTGTAACGATTATAGAGACAGAGCTTCTAGAACATCCTGTTTTATGTGTTTAGCGGGTTTTAAACGCAGAGTAAACTAAAGCTGCCATAAGAAGCCTCCTCAGGAAACAACCTGTATCCCACTATACAGGTGCTGGTCATAAAATTAGAATATCATGAAAAAGTAGATTGATTTCAGTAATTCCATTTAAAAAGTGAAACTTGTATATTATATTCATACATTACATACAAACTCATATATTTCAGATGTTTATTTTGTTTAATTTTGATGATTACAAATGACAACAAATGAAAATCTCAAATTCATCATATCAGAAAATTAGAATATTACTGAAGACCAATAAAAACAAAGGATTTATAGAAATGTTGGCCAACTGAAAAGTATGAACATGAAAAGTATGAGCATGTACAGCACTCAGTATTTAGTTGGGCCTCCTTTGGCCTGTATTACTGCAGCAATGCGGCGTGGCATGGAGTCGATCAGTCTGTGGCACTGCTCAGGTGTTATGATAGCCCAGGTTGCTCTAATAGTGGCTTTTAGCTCTTCTGAATTGTTGGGTCTGGTGTATTGCATCTTCTTCTTCACAATACCCCATAGATTTTCTATGGGGTTAAGGTCAGGAGAGTTTGCTGGCCAATTAAGAACAGGGATACCATGGTCCTTCAACCAGGTACTGGTAGCTTTGGCACTGTGTGCAGGTGCCAAGTCCTGTTGGAAAATGAAATCTGCATCTCCAAAAAGTTGGTCAGCTGCAGGAAGCATGAAGTGCTCTAAAACTTCCTGGTATGTGGCTGCGTTGACCCTGGACCTCAGAAAACACAATGGACCAACACCAGCAGATGACATGGCACCCCAAACCATCACTGACTGTGGAAACTTTACACTGGACTTCAAGCAACGTGGATGAAGTGCCTCTCTTCTTTTCCTCCAGACTCTGGGACCTTGATTTCCAAAGGAAATGCAAAATTTACTTTCATCAGAGAACATGACTTTGGACCACTCACCAGCAGTCCAGTCCTGTTTCTCTTTAGCCCAGGCAAGACGCTTCTGACGCTGTCTGTGGTTCAAGAGTGGCTTGACACAAGGAATGCGACAGCAGAAACCCATGTCTTTCATACGTCTGTGTGTGGTGGTTCTTGAAGCACTCACTCCAGCTGCAGTCCACTCTTTGTGAATCTCCCCCACATTTTTGAATGGGTTTTGTTTCACAATCCTCTCCAGGGTGCGGTTATCTCTCTTGCTTGTACACTTTTTTCGACCACATCTTTTCCTTCCCTTCGCCTCTCTATTAATGTGCTTGGACACTGAGCTCTGTGAACAGCCAGCCTCTTTAGCGATGACCTTTTGTGTCTTGCCCTCCTTGTGCAAGGTGTCGATGGTCGTCTTTTGGACAACTGTCAAGTCAGCAGTCTTCCCCATGATTGTGTAGCCTATAGAACTAGACTGAAAGACCATTTAAAGGCTTTTGCAGGTGGTTTGAGTTAATTAGCTGATTAGAGTGTGGCACCAGGGGCCATCAATTTTGAACCTTTTCACAATATTCTAATTTTCTGATATGATGAATTTGAGATTTTCATTTGTTGTCATTTGTAATCATCAAAATTAAACAAAATAAACATCTGAAATATATGAGTTTGTATGTAATGTATGAATATAATATACAAGTTTCACTTTTTAAATGGAATTACTGAAATCAATCTACTTTTTCATGATATTCTAATTTTATGACCAGCACCTGTAGATGCCAGCATCTGGCGAGGCTCTAACTTCTTCTCACAGCCATCCTTCAGATGCTTTCTAATCTCAATAAGGTTTTTTTTTTTTTTTTTTTTTTCGGGCGGAATAAAGGTTCCAAAACTAAAAAACCAAACAAAATTAGTATCTAATTGCTTATATCCTGATATCTATGAGCAAAACATGTGTCCATCTAATCTGAGAGGCTTGTCAATGAGGGCATTAATCAGAGCTGCAACTGAAGCCCATGGTAACTCTAGGGTGGCTGCAGAGAACTAAAGCTCAGGTGGGAAATTATTTAGTTATTTTGTTCACTTCATATCAAAAGGCCAGCAGACAAGCTTGTGCGAGTTAAAATCAATCCACTGGACTTTGTTTCCAAGTTTGAAGGCGTCTGGCTTCCCATCCAGGAAGACTTTTCATTTCCAAATGTCTGGATCAGCGCTGAGTTCCAGGGTTTCATAGAGGAGCCCAACTAAAGTCTTGTAATGGCTTAAAAAACATGAACATTGAAACTGGAAAACCAGCTCCAGCCCTTAATAATGGGAGTAGTTGAGGTCTTTATAGGCCTGAAATACCCGATACTGGTCCATTCCTCTGAAAAGGCAGTCGTTAAACGTCATCGTTGGCCTGGCTGACCTGTGGAGGGAGATATTTTGTTCCCCTGCATAGCGATGTGTTTGAGATGGTTTTGGGAAGGAATCAACTGTATCACTGCATTGTAGGTTTTTATACAGCTGACACAGTTGATCCTGACATCTTGAAAAAGTTTCCTGGATGGGAAGATAACTTTTTGGAATGACTCTGACCAGGATGTCTGAGAATCTCCTCCAGCATATGTGCCGTTCAGCGCAGCAGACATGGAGCCAGCAGCTCTGGACAGAGAAGCTTTAGGTCCACATGCAGAAGGTTCAATTTAAAGGAACCCAAACTCCTTCTCTGGTATCAGAGTTTATGTCCATCAGTCATTTGTCTGTCCATTTCCATAGAGACGGGTGCCTTATCCGACAGTGGTGGTCCACCCTGGACAGGCCTCCCAGTGGTGAAGACCTGTCTGTCCCTGACTGACAGGTCTTCACCTCCCAGTGGAATCAACTCTTGCATAAAATAATGTTTCAGAGCTTCCATTGTGACGTAAATCTAAAGGTGAAAGAAGAAGTGAACTTGAGCAATAAAAAGAAAAAAGGGTGGTAATAAGCCTGAGTCTGGTTGCAGCGCTCTAAAGGTTCCTGGACAGAGCGCAAGCATCCTTTGGTTCTGTTCAGAAACCAACTAAACTGAGACAGGATGGGAACGTTCACGTCCTAACATCTGCTGTGTTTTAAGCAGGGGATGGATTTCACAGAATGCTATGAAGACACGGTGTCCAGCGCGGCTGCTGCAGCCCGCTCAGGCTGCAGGAGGCAGCTGAGGAGGCTGATCGACAGAGGCTGCAGTGTGGACAGCCGGGATAACCGTGGCTGGAACCCCCTGCATGAGGCGGCGGCCGCTGGCAGCAAAGAGTGTGTGCAGGAAATACTGTCTGCAGTGAGCGGTAAGAAAAGGACCAGGAAATGTTGATCAGATGCCACTGAATGTCCCGTTGACCAAACACTTCATGAAATGGACACTTATAAGCTTTAATAGCACCGGAAGACACAGTTAAAATCCAACAACAGATCATCAATAGATTAAAACAATGATTGAATGAGAGGGCGTTCAGGATTAGCTGGGGTTTAAATTTAGACGGGTGAGACAGACTGAGGCGGTGAGGAGAATCAAAGGGAGAGAGGAGGAGGAACCAGCTGGTTACCACCCGATCCCTCTGACCACCCGATCCCTCTGACCACCTGATCCCTCTGACCACCCGATCCCTCTGACCACCTGATCCCTCTGACCTACCGATCCCTTGGACCACCTGATCCCTCTGACCACCCGATCCCTCTGACCACCTGATCCCTCTGACCACCCGATCCCTCTGACCACCTGATCCCTCTGACCACCCGATCCCTCTGACCACCAGATCCCTCTGACCACCTGATCCCACTGGACCACCCGATCCCTCTGACAACCTGATCCCTCTGACCACCTGATCCCTCTGACCACCCGATCCCTCTGACCACCCGATCCCTCTGGACCACCCGATCCCTCTGACCAACCGATCCCTCTGACCACCCGATCCCTCTGACCACCTGATCCCTCTGACCACCCGATCCCTCTGACCACCTGATCCCTCTGACCACCCGATCCCTCTGACCACCAGATCCCTCTGACCACCTGATCCCACTGGACCACCCGATCCCTCTGACAACCTGATCCCTCTGACCACCTGATCCCTCTGACCACCCGATCCCTCTGACCACCCGATCCCTCTGGACCACCCGATCCCTCTGACCAACCGATCCCTCTGACCACCCGATCCCTCTGACCTACCGATCCCTCTGTCCACCCGATCCCTCTGACCTACCGATCTCTCTGGACCACCCGATCCCTCTGGACCACCCGATCCCTCTGACCACCCGATCCCTCTGACCTACCGATCCCTCTGACCTACCGATCCCTCTGACCTACCGATCCCTCTGACCACCCGATCCCTCTGGACCATCCAATCCCTCTGACCTACCCGATCTCTCTGACCTACCCGATCCTTCTGACCTACCGATCCCTCTGACCTACCCGATCTCTCTGACCTACCGATCCCTCTGACCTACCGATCCCTCTGACCACCCGATCCCTCTGGACCATCCGATCCCTCTGACCTACCGATCCCTTTGACCACCTGATCCCTCCGATCACCTGATCCCTCTGACCACCTGATCCCTCTGACCACCTGATCCCTCCGACCACCTGATCCCTCTGACCACCTGATCCCTCTGACCACCTGATCCCTCCGACCACCTGATCCCTCCGACCACCTGATCCCTCCGACCACCTGATCCCTCTGACCACCTGATCCCTGTGGACCATCTGATCCCTCTGACCTACCCGATCTCTCTGACCTACCGATCCCTCTGAACAACCGATCCCTCTGACCACCCGATCCCTCTGACCACCCGATCCCTCTGGACCATCCGATCTCTCTGACCTACCGATCCCTTTGACCTACCGATCCCTGCGACCACCTGATCCCTCTGACCACCTGATCCCTCTGACCACCTGATCCCTCTGGACCACCTGATCCCACTGGACCACCCGATCCCTCCGACCACCTGATCCCTCTGGACCATCCGATCCCTCTGACCTACCCGATCTCTCTGACCTACCGATCCCTCTGACCACCTGATCCCTCTGGACCACCTGATCCCACTGGACCACCCGATCCCTCCGACCACCTGAGCCCTCTGGACCATCCGATCCCTCTGACCTACCCGATCTCTCTGACCTACCGATCCCTCTGACCTACCGATCCCTCTGACCACCCGATCCCTCTGGACCATCCGATCCCTCTGACCTACCCGATCTCTCTGACCTACCGATCCCTCTGACCACCTGATCCCTCTGGACCACCTGATCCCACTGGACCACCCGATCCCTCCGACCACCTGAGCCCTCTGGACCATCCGATCCCTCTGACCTACCCGATCTCTCTGACCTACCGATCCCTCTGACCTACCGATCCCTCTGACCTACCCGATCCCTCTGACCTACCGATCCCTTTGACCACCTGATCCCTCCGACCACCTGATCCCTATGGACCACCTGATCCCTCTGACCACCTGATCCCTCTGACCAACCGATCCCTCTGGACCACCCGATCCCTCTGGACCACCCGATCCCTCTGACCTACCGATCTCTCTGGACCACCCGATCCCTCTGGACCACCTGATCCCTCTGGACCACCCGATCCCTCTGACCACCCGATCCCTCTGACCACCCGATCCCTCTGACCACCCGATCCCTCTGGACCACCCGATCCCTCTGGACCATCCGATCCCTCTGGACCATCCGATCCCTCTGACCTACCCGATCTCTCTGACCTACCGATCCCTCTGACCTACCGATCCCTCTGACCTACCCGATCCCTCTGGACCACCCGATCCCTCTAGACCATCCGATCCCTCTGACCTACCCGATCTCTCTGACCTACCGATCCCTCTGACCTACCGATCCCTCTGACCCACCCGATCCCTCTGACCTACCGATCTCTCTGGACCACCCGATCCCTCTGGACCACCCGATCCCTCTGGACCACCCGATCCCTCTGACCTACCGATCTCTCTGGACCACCTGATCCCTCTGGACCACCCGATCCCTCTGACCACCCGATCCCTCTGACCACCCGATCCCTCTGACCACCCGATCCCTCTGGACCACCCGATCCCTCTGGACCATCCGATCCCTCTGGACCATCCGATCCCTCTGACCTACCCGATCTCTCTGACCTACCGATCCCTCTGACCTACCGATCCCTCTGACCTACCCGATCCCTCTGGACCACCCGATCCCTCTAGACCACCTGATCCCACTGGACCACCCGATCCCTCTGGACCACCAGATCCCTCTGACCACCTGATCTGGACCAGAGGTCATGTGCTCAGAGGGAAAAATGCAAACAGCTGAATTCTGAATGTCTGGAAGCTTATGGAGCCTAGTCAGCTTGGCATGGTTATGGGTATGGGAGGGGTTAATAGTGACACCCAGACTGTTGACCTGTGGTGAACTGAGATCATGGAGCCGTCGACTGCACTGCAAAAATGATCTAGAAAGAATTAAAAATTTCTTTAAATAAGTGCATTTAGCCTCAATTTAAGGAAATAAGATTATCTGCCAATGGAATGAGTATTTTTACTCTTAAAATAAGATAATTGTGTTTCCTGGATGGGGCCGCCTTTTACAGTTGCCTTTTGTATCTATGCTTCTTTTTCTATGTCTGCTTCTGTCTCCTTGAACCCCAGTGGGCCTCAGCAGATGGCCGCTCACACTGAGCCTGGTTCTGCTGGAGGTTTCTTCCTGTTCAAAGGGAGTTTTTCCTCTCCACTGTCGCTACAAGCATGCTTAGTGTGAGGGATTGCTGAAGAGTCAATGAGTCGATGCAATCAGCTGGTTTTCAGGTGAAATGAGTTTTAATTTCATGTTAGCCTGTGGTGGACACATCAGTAAGGGACATCGTCCAACGGCTGCCTGCCTGTAATGCCAGACCTGTCCAAACTATTCATGTTTATTCCTCCAGTGTAAATCCTGCTGTTTAGAAAAACTTTGATAGAAGTTACAGGATCAACTTCATCTTTTTAATCCAGTAAAAGTGTAAAAGTACCTTTTTTAATTGTCAATTTTACTTAAAGTATAAAAGAAATGCAGGAAAAACTGTTAATGCCAGAAGCTTTACTGCTCTACTCTATTAAAGGAACATTTTTCTACCATTCTGGATGATAACTTCCTTAGACTTAATTTTCTTAGTTTTATAACCAATGGGAACAGCGTCACATTTAACTTTGCATCATCTGGAAAAACTATTTATTTTGGTTTGTGGCAAGCAACAGGTTGGGGCAGCACCGAGTCCAACCACAGAGAAATTAATTGTCTGGATGAAACTAATTATTTTGATGGATTTTATTTAAACACCAACAGACCAGAATGAAAATGAGCTAAAATGAAACAAAACTAATGAGATTATTTTTAAAATGTAAGGAGAAGGATAAAGTTTTTTAAAGAATAAATCCTCCAGTAAAGTCTAGAGAGCCAGGATTTCTACTGAAGGTAAGGAAGTATTTATAGGTTGTTAGTTGGAACCTGTGTGTGATGCTGGGAGGGACTGGATGCAGCGTCTCTCGCCATGTTTCCCTAAAAGCTTCATTTAAGTGTTTAATCTGATGGGAGCTGATTGCTTTCATCTTCTGGAAAGTCTCGTTTCTTTCTGAAGCAGCGCAGCTTTAGTCTTTGCTGCTCGGCCAGTGGTCATTCTGTGGACGCTCACCTCTACGCTCTGCTCCGTCTCCTCCGCCGCTCGGCGTGCAGCCAGATCCTCCAGGTGTCGTCGGGATTATGTCAACTCTCTGACTCATGAGGGCGAGTCGCCGTGTTTCCTGGCGGCGCGGCGAGGACATGTGGCGGTGGTCCGACTCCTCCTGAAAGCGAACGCAGACGTCAACCAGATGACCAATGACCTCTCCTGTCCTCTATATGCAGGTGACCTTAGGCTCCGCCTCCCAGCCACCCCAGCATCGGCCTGTCTCTCTGCTTTAAACCGTGTCTCTCTCCGCAGCTGTGGACGGCGGGCACACAGAGGTGGTGAAGCTGCTGGTCAGGAAGGGAGCAGAGGTGGACGGGATTCACACAGCTTCCTGCTGGACCTGCCTGCATCAGGCTGCCTATAAGGTGATCCACAGGCGGAGCTTTGGCTGCTCGCTCTGGGGCTTTGAGTCAAACGTGTCCTTCCTCTTTCAGGGACACGGCGACATCCTGCGTTTTCTGGTTACCGTCTGCAACCTGGAGGCACATGACGACCACCGGATCACGCCGCTGTTTGTGTCCGCTCAGTACGGTCAGAGGGAGTGCCTGCAGCTGCTCGTTGATGCTGGTGAGCCGCTTTACTCGCTGATGTCAGCGGTGCGTCCGGCTGAGGATGTGTGTTTTCAGCTAAACGACCTCATGGAGGCAACAGCTGAGAGATTTGCTTCTTCTGGGCGTCTGAACGGTTTCTCTTTGTCTAATTTTTATCTGAATCGGTTCAAAACAAACCAAAAAAGGAAGGAGAAATCCACTAATAGTTTTTGATGGACAGGAACACTCAGCACCTTGGACAGCGCCCCGTAGCGCAGACGTTTTTACTGAGCACTTTGGGCAGCTGCAGCTTTAAAGGAAAAGTCGCTCATATTCAGAATCCAAACTTCTGAAAGTTCTTTAAATCTGAAATGATTCCATCCTGTTCAATAAATGATCCGTGTTTTTAATTCAGAGTAATTTTCATGTGAATGTGCTTTACTGGAGGCATCCATGTTTGTCAAAGAACACTACTGCCACCTACTGGTTAGTGACGTCACGGTGCGGTATCGGCTGTTGATCAAGTCCCAGTGCTGTATCTGGTGTTTGTCACAACGCGCTATTATCCGCTTACCGCACCGTGACGTCACTGCCGGAAGATGGCAGGAGGGAGGGGCTACTAGATTTGGACAAAAATGGCCGCTCCAGGAGTCGGTGATCGTAACGAAAATTATAATTATAATTTTTTACTGATTAACGCTAAATTAATTAAATCAATTAATTAAATTATACCTAAACTAATACCAATGTATTAGTTTAGGTATAAATAATGATCCATTGATTCTTCCTGCTGACTGAACTTTTCCTTTAATCATCAACAATGTTTCATAAAATAAGGTTATTTGGTTTTATTCTGAGCAGATCAATCAGATCTACTGATCCACTGAGTTTTTCTTCCCTTAGAAATAAATAGTTAGATATGAGCAAATTGAAAATAAAGTTGTTGTTTTTTTTTTTATTTAATTATAAAATAATAAAATAAGAGTTTTTTTTTATAATTCTGGTGGCTTAGTGATTAGAGCATTATGCTTGGGGCCCGGAGGAACCCCTACACCCCCCCAGCCTCCACTCTGGGTCCCTGAGCAAGACCCCTAACCCCACACTGCTCCCTGGGTGCTGCACTATGGCAGCCCTCTGCTCCCCAAGAGGAGGGGTTAAAGGCAGAGATACATTTCTCCAATGTGAGATGAATAAAGGAGTTATATTTATTTTATATATTTTAACTCGTCACTATGATGTTATTTTTATACATTTTACTAAGGTCCACATTTATGTGAATATTTTTCTATGATCTGTTTCCTGCTGAAAACATCAGAATTTCCCCATTATGGGACAATAAAGAGATTTTCTATTCTGTTCTGTTCTATTCTATTCTATTCTATTTTGTTCCGTTCGGTTCTATTCTATATTTGCATTTAAAAAAATCCAGGAAAAATTGACTTCGTTATGTTTCAGGTTTTGCAGTGAATTTATTTGAGCATAAAGTTCTTTAAGGAACTTTTCTGTGAACCAGAGCGTAATGATCAGTAGAGTATTTTGTGTCCAGGGGCCAATGTGAACGCTCAGGCGGCTGATCTGGCGACGCCGCTGCTCATCGCCTCCCAAGAAGGCCACCAGGACTGCGTGGATCTCCTGCTGGAGCGCGGAGCCGATCCCAACATGGCCTGCAGCGACGACTGGCCTCAGCTTCCCATTCATGCTGCTGCTCAGTTTGGACGTATCAGGTACGGCGATCTGCTCAGGTTGATGGAGGATCCGTCCTGCATCACAGCCGTTCAAAGCTCCAATCGCAGCGCCTCATTAATCTACTGTTTAAACCCTAAAACATGTTTTTCTGGCTGCAGCTTCATCTCCTAACCTTTGTGAAATCTGTGAACCCAGTATTCTGCGCAGGCTGATTGAGGTGACGGACCGGAGGTGTGATGGCGGCGAAGGCATGGTCAGTCCGCTGTATGTGGCCATCAGCAGCGAGCAGAGCAGCAGCGCCGAGCTGCTGCTGAAGGAAGGTTACAGCGCCGACGCTCAGGACTGTCGGCTCGCTCTGGGTTTCCCCTCGCCGCTCTCCCTGGCCTTTTATCGAACCGCCACCCAACCCTGCAGGCGTGTCTGCGCTCCTTATTCTGCACATCACAGGAATATTTAAACACTTTATTCCTGTTCTTCTTCTTTTTACTGCATAACGGATGATCTGACCCTCTGCTAGATGATTGGTTAACATTGAATTTAAACATTTTAAAGATGGAACGTTCGCCATTTTTTTTTTAGTTTAGCTCAGTTGTGGTTAAAAGTTGTTCTTTAAATTTTTCTTACTTGTGATTAAAGAAGAAATAAAGTTTAACAAAGTAAAGAAAAGCTTAAAAATGGGGAATTAAGGTTGTGATTTTTTATCCAGTCGACAGTGAAAGCTAAAGTTGAGCCGATGTCTTGTTCTATGACATCATCATATTAAGTCATGCTTAAAATTAGGGCGAATTAATTTGAAATGTTCGCTCCAGGAAATGATCCTCCTCAGGCAGCATCTCCAGGTTTAAAGGAGAGAGACTGTCTGGTACAAATATGGAAGCCCTTTTTAAGTTTTCCTAGTCGCCTCCTAATGAAGCATAAACTTTACAAACTCATGTTTCTCCATAACGCAGAGAATCACTTTAGGAGAAAACCGTTTAAAGCACAACATTCAGTCCAGGATGCAGGCTGCTGGTCTCCATAGCAACCTCTAAGGTGGTCAGGCCCTATAGCTGCACGCCCATCTCCCATCTGAGGCTTGGCATTGTTAGGTTCCACTGACCTGGAACCTAACAATTCAATTCTATTCAGTTTATTTCTATAGCTCCAATTCACATCATGTCGTCTCAGGTCACTTTATAGAAACAATTCAACCAGATCATCCAGTCAGATTGATTCAAAGTTTTCTATCTAAGGAAAACCAGCTGATTGCATCGACTCATTGACTCTTCAGCAATCCCTCACACTAAGCATGCTTGTAGCGACAGTGGAGAGGAAAAACTCCCTTTGAACAGGAAGAAACCTCCAGCAGAACCAGGCTCAGTGTGAGCGGCCATCTGCTGAGGCCCACTGGGGTTCAAGGAGACAGAAGCAGACATAGAAAAAGAAGCATAGATACAAAAGGCAACTGGCAACCAGCTCCACAGGCGGCCCCGTCCAGGAAACACACAGCCAGGCAGACGAGCTCCGAGCCAGCTCCCATGTCAGAGGATGAAGAGAGCACATCCAGTTAGTCACAGTCAGAGAAACAGGACTACACTGGAAAACAGGCCAAGCTCCAGCATCTAGAAACAAAGGTGTTGATGGCAGCAGCACAGCTGATATTTCTCTCCAGGATGGAGTCACAGCCAAACAGGAACAGACCAGATGAAGCTACTATGAGAAAAAGCAGAGAGAGCAGAACGTTAGAGATTGAACTAACAGATTCTGCAGAGTGGGAGAATAGAGATAGAATGATGAAACAGATCTCCCTATGTCCTCCAGCAGTGACCCTGACCTGGACCCTAATGCTGACAGGTCACACATGACTGTAATCTGACTGTTTCTGTTTGCAGGGATTCTGTAAAGCTGCTGCTTGCTGCTGGAGCTGCGTTAAAAGCAGAGGAGTGGACTTATGCTCTTGCAACGGACAGAACGGATCTGCTGGAACTGATTCTGGACTACAGGTGGATCCGCGGACCAGAGGCTTTTCACAAAGACATTCCAGCAGGACGCCACGGTGGGAAGACGGTGCTGCAGCTGCAGGAACTGAGAGAGCTGGTCTGTGTAGCGCTGAGCCAAGTGAACTTTGCCTCCTGTTGGCTTCCTGTGCTTCTGAACAAAGGACTGGATCCATATCTGCTGCTGCACCCCCACATGTAACCCCCCCAGCCTTGCTCCTTCACAGGCCCTTTTGTTACAGCAGAGATGAAGCCAGATGTTTTTGTCTCTTGTTTCATGCAGGCTGGAGAAAGCAGACAGTGACGTGCTGAACTTCCTGCTCCAGTTCGTAAACTGGTCGACTCTTCCTCCTCCTCTGAAGATCATTTTGGAGCAGAGGGAGGCAGAGGGAACTTGGGAACCTCTCACTCATTTTGGTACCCAGTGAAAATGCCTACTTCAGTTCTGATGCTGTTTCCTGAACACTCAGCTGACGGATCTTTTCTCCACGTTTCAGCTTCGGTTCCGTCTCTTTTCCACCTCTGCCGGCTGAAGGTCCGAGATGCGCTGGGCGCGGATCAGCTGATGACGACGGATGCAGTCCAGCAGCTGCCTGTTCCGTCTCCACTCCATGTTTTCCTTCAATTCAGGGACATCCAAAAGCCTTCCTACACCCGCCCCCCTCCGTCACCCGTTATAAACCGCGTAGAGAGACACCGCAGCGCTCACCAGCACAGACATGTTTTATAAACACATTTCACTCCCTCTCATCTCCGTTTATATATCTATCAGAGACATTTCTGCCCTTCTATAGATACACTATATTGCCAAAAGTATTTGCTCACCCATCCAAATTATTGGAATCAGGTGTTCCAATCACTTCCATGGCCACAGGTGTATAAATTCAAGCACCTAGGCATGCAGACTGTTTTTACAAACATTTGTGAAAGAATGGGTCGCTCTCAGGAGCTCAGTGAATTCCAGCGTGGAACTGTGATAGGATGCCACCTGTGCAACAAATCCAGTCGTGAAATTTCCTCGCTCCTAAATATTCCACAGTCAACTGTCAGCTGTATTATAAGAAAATGGAAGTGTTTGGGAACGACAGCAACTCAGCCACGAAGTGGTAGGCCACGTAAACTGACGGAGCGGGGTCAGCGGATGCTGACGCGCATAGTGCGAAGAGGTCGCCAACTTTCTGCAGAGTCAATCACTACAGACCTCCAAACTTCATGTGGCCTTCAGATTAGCTCAAGAACAGTGCGCAGAGAGCTTCATGGAATGGGTTTCCATGGTCGAGCAGCTGCATCCAAGCCATACATCACCAAGTGCAATGCAAAGCGTCGGATGCGGTGGTGTAAAGCACGCCGCCACTGGACTCTAGAGCAGTGGAGACGCGTTCTCTGGAGTGACGAATCGCGCTTCTCCATCTGGCAATCTGATGGACGGGTCTGGGTTTGGCGGTTGCCAGGAGAACGGTACTTGTCTGACTGCATTGTACCAAGTGTAAAGTTTGGTGGAGGGGGGATTATGGTGTGGGGTTGTTTTTCAGGAGCTGGGCTTGGCCCCTTAGTTCCAGTGAAAGGAACTCTGAATGCTTCAGCATCCCAAGACATTTTGGACAATTCCATGCTCCCAACTTTGTGGGAACAGTTTGGAGCTGGCCCCTTCCTCTTCCAACATGACTGTGCACCAGTGCACAAAGCAAGGTCCATAAAGACATGGATGACAGAGTCTGGTGTGGATGAACTTGACTGGCCTGCACAGAGTCCTGACCTCAACCCGATAGAACACCTTTGGGATGAATTAGAGCGGAGACTGAGAGCCAGGCCTTCTCGTCCAACATCAGTGTGCGACCTCACAAATGCGCTTCTGGAAGAATGGTCAAAAATTCCCATAAACACACTCCTAAACCTTGTGGACAGCCTTCCCAGAAGAGTTGAAGCTGTTCTAGCTGCAAAGGGTGGACCGACGTCATATTGAACCCTATGGATTAGGAACGGGATGTCACTTAAGCTCATATGTGAGTCAAGGCAGGTGAGCAAATACTTTTGGCAATATAGTGTATTTCTATCTTAGAATATCAGTCCTGAGAGGAGTTCATCATCAAACCGAATTATAGAAACACTCTATAATGTCCTCATGTTGTTCCTGAATATTAATTCTGGCTATTTGAAATGTAGTTAAGAAAATAAATAAAAAAATATTTTCAGTAATATCTTTGTGTTCTTTGGGGTATTATTTTTCCCCCTCTATATCCTTCAGATATTCTGTTCTTGTAAAAAAATAAATAAAATAAAATAGGAACTAGGAACTGTTATTATTTATTATATTCTTAGACCATAACTATTCCAAGAATAAATCCTTAGAATAGTTATTTAGTAAAAAATTTAGAATAAAGCACTTTCAGCTTCCAGGGCACGCTGGTAATGAAACTAAATAAGTTAATTTTGTCTTGAATTAAGGAAGTAAATGAGACACTTTGCTAATGGAACAAGATCATTATCATTTGAAATAAGACAAAAAAATACATCGTCTTATCTCAAATGCATATTAACTTAAGAGTAAAAAAAAACAACTAATTCAGTTGGCAAATCATTTTATTTACTTGCTCAAGTTAAGGGTAAATATTACGGAAGAGGATTAGGGCCACTGAAAAAAAAAAATGTTAATTGATTTTTATTTTTTATTTTATTTCAGTATAGTATGGGGAAAAAAGTCAGAATTCTGACTTTAATCTCAGAATTCTGACTTTTTTATTGTCAGAATTCAGTCAGAATTCTGATAAAAAAAAGTCAGAATTCTGACATTTTTCCCCATGTTAAACTGAAATAAAATTAAAAAATCAGTTAACTTTTTTTTCTTCTTCAGTGGCCCTAATCCTCTTCCGTAAAATATACTTAATTTAAGAAATGGCGATTTATTTCTAGATCGTTTTTGCAGTGCAGATTTCATATCTTGTTCTTAACAGGAAGTGCTTTGATTGTTCATATTAATTATTGTTTAGCCAATAGAATGGATCTCTACGGAAAAGGATTAGGGCCACTGAAAAAATAAAAAATGTAACTGATTTTTAAATATTATTCTAATTTAATATGGGAAAAAAACTTCTGACTTTAATCTGAGAACTCTGACTGAATTCTGACAGCTAACAAACCTGTTAGCATCCAGCCGTAGCCATGTCTGTTTTAGAGACTAGCTCTCTTGTTTTAATCACCTTCTGCTCTTCTATTAATTAAACAGCATCAGCAGGGATCCCTCAGAGACGGAAAGTCGCCTAATTCCGTCATTTTCCACCAAAGTGTTCCTGTTCCTCCCAAATAACTCCCATCTTTGTCAGTGAAGAAAACAGTTAGAATTCTGACTTTTTCCCATATTATACTGTAATAAAATTTAAAAACCAGTTAACTTTCTTTTATTTTTTTCAGTGGCTCTAATCTGCTTCAATAGATCTCTCATAAGTAAAAAAAAAAAAAAAAAAAACAATATTAAAAAAATTACTAACAAATATTTTTGTAAAAGTACAAAGTTGTTTTTTTATTTAGCCTTTCACAAAATTAAGTCGCCGAAAATAATGAAATCTGACTTCTAAAAATAAATGACTAAGTAACAATGAATTAAAAAAATGCTCTATGGGGCAAATCCTGAGAAGTTATTCTGCCGCAAGGTTTCTTGGGATTTGTAGTTCACAGCAGGAAGTAGCTGTGGTCTAAGCGAGCTTGTTTTGGGGCGTTTACTTAATATTAGTTTACGTTTCTAATGAAAGATGGTGGATTTGATGACTGAGTAGGGATATGCCTTGATGTATTTCATACGTAAGTATATTTAATGCTAGTTTTTTTCTTTAGGAAGTCGCAGTTTTTCTCAGCTAAAGGCAGTAGTGTTGCAGAAGCTTGCTAGCTTCGCCCCTATACTAATTAGCTTAGCTTAACCTTTAACTTATAAATGCTGATTTATGAAGCATGCTGTTTAGGCAGCTACTTTTCTACAGATTTACAGTAAATTTACAAACAAAACAGATAATAGTTTATGTCATGTTTGTTTGTTTATCAGACTCGCAAAAAGAAAAACAAGCTAGCTGGGGAGCTAACAGCCGCTAGCTGAGCGAGAGAAGCTAAAATGTCAGTTTAGCTTTAGATGAGAGGATGAATAGAAAACAAACAATCTAAGGCTGATTTTTTTTCTTTTTTATTGTATATATTTTACTAACAAGCATTTATACAAAAGAACCGCAGACAGGTGCTCTAAAATAAACAATATACAAAACACAAAATGCATTATTGGTTGAAAAATATCGGTGGAAGTGTTTCTCTGTTTCTAATCAATTAAAGCGAATTTATGGGAAAAAAACGTCTGAAGTTGGGAACGTTTTGGAATAATTATATTTGTGTTTATGAAATTAACCAATAAAAATGAGCAGGTTTGTGATAAAAGTAACATTAGTGTCTTTATGGGCAAAATATATTATTACAATCAGTCAACTACAATCTATGTTTTAAATTTAAACATTATAGAATATTATATATTATATTGTTCAAGAAGAGTGCAAACATTGACAGAGTGGATACAGTGACAGAATAAATAACTGAGACAAGGTTTCCTTTTCAATTTGACAAAAACTGAATTTATCTTGAATGTGTGAGGATTTAGAAACATATAAATTTGTAGGATATATCGTGTAGAATTTTGATGTGAATCTTCTTTATCTAATGAAATATACAGAAGTTATGGGGCAATTATAACCAGGCCTTCTTCTTTCCTTAAAGATGTTATCCCAAAATGCTTTTCCTCCTGGATTTATCCTCCTCTTTACGTAGAAAGAATTATGTATATATTTGTTTTTGCATTTCTGGTCCAGTAGATCGAACCGTTTATCATAAGAAGAGATTCTTATTCTTAGAGCTTCATTTTACTGAAAATGGCTCCAGATCAGGAGAGAAGACCATGAGGGATACATTAGTTATGTAATTAAATTCTTTGTATGTGACAGGAAATGCGCTCATAACCCAGCATTATAGCATGAGAATCAAAAAGTTCACACACAAAAATAATGTTTTATCAACCCAGTGATGTAAAAATATTAACTTTTTCCTGATGGTAAAATCTTCATTGTTCCACATAAAGGTTTTGTGAGGAGAAAAGTTGTGGGAGTAGCAGAGTTTCCTTGCTAACAGAGCCTGTTGGTGAAATTTGGAGAGTTTTAAAGGTCATTTTGTAAAACTGTAAGTACAGATAAGTAAAAAATGCAGACCACTAAGCTCAGGGTGATTGTTGTTGCATTAAACCAAACAGTGACGTCAGCAATCAGTCATACAGAAATGCACTTTATTGTCCCACAGTTGGTCAATTCAGGAGTTTATTGCAACGCAGCTCAAAGCTAAAAAGAAGCAAATAAACAGTTAAACCAAATAATCTATGTGATGCGTCTGTTAGTCAGCAGCTGTGGACTCTGTGACAATCATCATGTGAGATAAACAGCTCTGTTAGAGGCTGGGTGGGTTTTTATATTTTATATACTGCAATAATCCCAGAGGGAAATTACTTCTCTGCATTTAACCCCTCCCCTTGGGGGGCAGTTACAGACTCTGAGGCGTTTCTTCTCTAAAACCACTTCAGTTATTTCTAGAAAAACAGAAAACCTTCCAGCCAAATAGCCAATCAAATGCTTCTGCTGATCCAGCGTCTCGGCGCTGATAAGCTTTTCTAACGTCTGTGTTGTTGTTCCAGCTGAGGGCAGCCTGACAAACGCGTCCCGTCCGTACGTCGGCAGCATGCAGCCGGTGTTTAGGAGAGATGCTGGAGTTTGGACTCAAACCAAAAGTCTTCTCTATAAGAACCTGCTGATCAAATGGAGGACCAAGCAGCAGAGCCTTCAGGTATTTCCTGTTTCTGCTGACCTCATGCTTATTTCTACTCTTCATGTTTCTGCAACTAGCTGGGAAAGTGTTGTGTTGGAAAGAAGGAATGAAATCTGTATATTTGGGATAACATCTATCCTAAGCTCCCCTCTGACATCCTAGTGTGTTTGGTTTATGGCATATTAACAGTCCGCAGCCCCCCCCCCCCCCCCCCCAGCCAGTCTGTCTGCCTGGATTTCTCTGCTGTTTCAGCCTCACTTACGGTTCCTAAACCTGCCGTACGGCGCTGTGAGTCATCTAACCTGATTATTGCTGTCTTGCAGCATCAAATCTCCATCCTTTCCAGTTCCTCTATGTCAGGCCATGCAGTTTTAATTTGGTGCATTTTAATATCACAGCATAGCAGCTTTGCTCTCCTACTGTTTCACATTAGCTGTCCTGCTAGCATCTAACCAAGGTGACCAGCTGTGTTGCTTCTGTCATCTGGAACGATTCCATTGATTTAAAGCCATTTTTCTCTTCTTGGTCTTATTGTTCCTCCCGGCTGTTGTTCCTAATGGGATGTCTTTGGCAGCCTTACTTTAACTCATCTAAAGTTTATTCCATGTTCCCCTTTTCACAGAATTCAGAAACTAAACACTGATAGAAGTATTTATGTAAATGTTTAACATCTACGGGACGCATTTAGTATGTGAGATAGAGTCCTGCACGGGTCGAGTTTTACCAACCTGCACCCGCCCGAACCCATTAGGATGACTACCAAACCACCCACAGATAACTTCAATTCAAATCCGAACCCGACCCGTTGATATTTAACCCGCAACCCGACCCGTTAACACATCAAGTAATAGGCTATAGTACGCTGCGCTGCAGAACAGCGCCATTAACACTGCAGCAGACGTGTATGCACTGACTGTGGCCTTTTTGGAGGGAAGCCCACACTGCCGGCAGGGCTTTAAGCTACAACAAGGGTGACCCCAGTGCCTGATTAATAGAACATTTCTGATGTCCATAACAACACACATGCATAAAAAAAAAAAATCACCAACTACCAATATCCGCCCGACCCGTTTATTTTTATTTATGTATTTTCTCACCTGCAAAAGAGCATTTTAGCGGGTACCTGACCCGTTGCAGGACTCTAAGGTGATTCCTCTGACCTGCTTCCAGTTGTTTTATCCCGCTGAAATTTAGTGCAATTATTTATATCACTATGAAGGATATTAGGAGGGTGTATTAGAGCCAGACCGGAGATTTCTTTTCAAATTAGAAAATAAAGTCATAAAATCCCGAGAATAAAGTGGTAACATTATGAGAATAAAGTTGTATTTTATGACAACTCTTACAAGAAGCACTTTCTTCCCTAAAATGAGGAATGTGGAGCATCATGTGAGGTTTCTCATAATTTATTCTCATAAATGTACGACTTAATTCTCATAATTTTAAGACTTTATTCTCGTAATTTTACGACTTTATTCTGGTAAATGTACGACTTTATTCTCGTAATTGTACAACTTTATTCTCGTAATCTTCCGACTTTATTCTCACAACTTTACGACTTTATTCTGGTAAATGTACGACTTTATTCTCGTAATTTTACGACTTTATTTTCACAATTTTACGACTTTATTCTCACAATTTTACGACTTTATTCTCACAATTTTACGACTTTATTCTCATAATTTTACGACTTTATTCTCACAATTTTACGACTTTATTCTCATAATTTTACGACTTTATTCTCACAATTTTACGACTTTATTCTCGTAATTTTACGACTTTATTCTCACAATTTTACGACTTTATTCTCACAATTTTACGACTTTATTCTCATAATTTTACGACTTTATTCTCACAATTTTACGACTTTATTCTCATAATTTTACGACTTTATTCTCACAATTTTACGACTTTATTCTCACAATTTTACGACTTTATTCTCGTAATTTTACGACTTTATTCTCACAATTTTTACGACTTTATTCTCACAATTTTACGACTTTATTCTCGTAATTTTACGACTTTATTCTCACAATTTTTACGACTTTATTCTCACAATTTTACGACTTTATTCTCATAATTTTACGATTTTATTCTCACAATTTTACGACTTTATTCTCACAATTTTACGACTTTATTCTCACAATTTTACGACTTTATTCTCACAATTTTACGACTTTATTCTCACAATTTTTACGACTTTATTCTCACAATTTTACGACTTTATTCTCATAATTTTACGATTTTATTCTCACAATTTTACGACTTTATTCTCACAATTTTACGACTTTATTCTCACAATTTTACGACTTTATTCTCACAATTTTACGACTTTATTCTCATAATTTTACGACTTTATTCTCACAATTTTACGACTTTATTCTCACAATTTTACGGCTTTATTCTCGTAAATGTACAACTTTATTCTTCTAATTTAGTGACTTTATTCACGTAATTTTCTGACTTTATTCTCGTAAATGTACGACTTTATTCTGGCAAATAACCGACTTTATTCTCGTGATGTTATAATTTTATTCTTTATTCTGGTATTAATAGAATCTGTAGGCTGTTCCTGATGCTTTGTGGTATTTTCTAACGGAGCAGGAGGTGTGTGTTTTTTTCTGTTTCCGTTCAGGAGCTGCTCCTCCCCCTGATGCTCCTCGGTCTCCTCATTCTCATCAGCACAATGAACCCTCATGTTTATTATGAAGGCATCAGCACCAAGGAGCTGGAGGATGACAACTTCTTCCGGAACATCAGAGGCCTGGGCTACACGCCCATCACCAACATCACCACCGACATCATGGAGGAAGTGGCGGCTCGTTTACTGAGTGAGTCACAGCGACGTTTCCAGGGTCCTGATCCCAGAAAGCGTTTGAAGAGTTCAGGGTAAATCTGTAATTTCGCTGGTTTCAGAAACCTGATAGTCGAGCCTTCCAGCGCCTGCTGGATGCGTTTCTCATGGACGCACTCATTATTATAAAGTGTTAAATAGGTGCAGATCCCATCAGATCCCACTCATTCATTGGCTGCCACCTTAAACCTCCTTGTTTTACAGCTGGAACCGTTTGCTTTGCCTTTTCAGATGAGAAATGTTCACTTTGAGGTTTCTAATTTGATCCTGAGGGCCGACTGAACATCACCTGTCCTGAAACCTGAGATCCTGAATAATGAGGAGCTTCTCTCTTCTAGAGTTATTCCGGATTTGTGAAGCAGCCTGGTTTTGTTCTTCCCTCAGAGACGCCCAGGAGGTGAAGGAGAGGCTGATAAACGTTTCCCTGTTTGTGTCAGCAGATGTGCAGGATCACCTGGAGTTGTTCACCAGCGAGGAGGATCTGGAGAACGCCAGCCTGTACGAGCCGTCCAACTACATCGGCGTGGTGTTCCTGGACAGCGCAGCCACATCCTACAGGCTGCGCTTCCCACACCACAAGCTGCCGCTGCCCAGCGATTATACAGAGTCCATCGGTACAAAATAATCAGCTGATTTACTGGATCTGATCTGAGGCTTCAGGCTGGAAACCTCCTCAGTTTGGACACAACAAATGCAGAGAAATGGCTGGAAAAGCTTGTTTTGGTTGGATGTTCGTCTGATCTTTGTTTTTCTCCCTGTAGCCAGCTGTTACAGCGTCCTGGAGAGATGCAGAGCTGCAAACTATTGGTTCTCTGGTTTCACCCGCCTCCAAACTATGATTGATGCCGCCATCATTCAGGTGAGACGAGCTGCACGCCGCCGTAATCAGAGAGCAACGGCTCTGTTCAAAGCGAGTCCTCGACACGACACCAGTGAAGCTTTAACTGAAGACCTGATGTTAGAGAGGAAACCAAAAGATGGATCCTCAGTCACACCGTTGACTCCTGCTAGAAGCTGATCCCTTTTTTCCTCTTTATGTTTTATTAACAGTGGGACTAAAATAAAATGTTCTAATTAGAGCAAACTACAAGATTTATAATTAATAACATTTAATCCTAAACCCACATATTTACAAAATAAACACGTTTTTCAATTAAAAAAAGGCCATTTGCTCCTAAATGATTGAATAGATAAACCGATGAGCACAGAAACAGAAATATTAATAATTCTATTCAGTTTATTTCTATAGCTCTAATTCACATCATGTCATCTCAGGTCACTTTATAGATCCAGATCATCCAGTCAGATTGATTCAAAGTTTTCTATCTAAGGAAAACCAGCTGATTGCATCGACTCATTGACTCTTCAGCAATCCCTCACACTAAGCATGCTTGTAGCGACAGTGGAGAGGAAAAACTCCCTTTGAACAGGAAGAAACCTCCAGCAGAACCAGGCTCAGTGTGAGCGGCCATCTGCTGAGGCCCACTGGGGTTCAAGGAGACAGAAGCAGACATAGAAAAAGAAGCATAGATACAAAAGGCAACTGTCAACCAGCTCCACAGGCGGCCCCGTCCAGGAAACACACAGCCAGGCAGACGAGCTCCGAGCCAGCTCCCATGTCAGAGGATGAAGAGAGCACATCCAGTTAGTCACAGTCAGAGAAACAGGACTACACTGGAAAACAGGCCAAGCTCCAACATCTAGAAACAAAGGTGTTGATGGCAGCAGCACAGCTGATATTTCTCTCCAGGATGGAGTCACAGCCAAACAGGAACAGACGAGGCAAAGCTACTCTGAGGAAAAGCAGAGAGAGCAGAACGTTAGAGATTGAACTAACAGATTCTGCAGAGTGGGAGAATAGAGATAGAATGAAGCAGAATGATGAAAAAGGGGTCCCTATGTCCTCCAGCAGTCTAAGCCTATAGCAGCAGAACTACTGTATACTTTTTTTATTTATTGTTTAGGTTATTTTAACGCTCGGATTGGTTAAAAGTTCAAATCATTTATCTTCTGCTTTTATTTTGTTCAGAAACCTCTAATATTTGATGCAACATTTTAAAAAACGACTTATTTTTAAGTGCGATCGTGTAAGTTAGTGTTATTATGGACTTACATTAAAATGATTGTGCATCACGGCGCAGGATTCTGGCTTTAAGGCTTTAAAGGAGCGATGGCAGCAGAGCAAAGCATAACGCTGATCCTTTAGGAACTGAATGTTTGACGTTAGATGAGGCTCCTTAGATCAACTTCTGTGATGCTGCCTGTGCTTCAGATTTAAAGCTTCACAGGAAGCCTCCCGCTCTGGATCACAGCATGTTTTTATACCAACAGGTTAAAGTGCTGACTGTAGTTTTTATGAATATGGACGAAGCCAAACCTGCAGGAATAACTTTAAAAGATGTTCCAGATGTAAAGGAGGAGGAAAGCTGGTCCTCCGTCACGCCGAGGTGTAGCGGATGAAGCACATCATGCGCCCTAATGAAACGGGGATTTAGACGTCGGTAACTGGTGTGATTAAAAGCTGTTCTCTGTGCCCCGTCTGCAGAGGCAGACCAAACGGACGGTGTGGGATGAGCTGAACCTGAAGGCGGTGATGATGGGCCAGCCAGGCTCCGTGGAGGTCCAGAAGTTTCCCCACGTCCTGATCTCCATCTACCTGGTGCTGGCCTTCACTCCTTTTGTCACCTTCCTCATTGTGAACGTGGCGGCTGAGAAGGAGCATCACCTGAAGGACACCATGACCATGATGGGGCTGTACGACACGGCCTTCTGGTAAGCTCCGCCCAATCCTCTTGTTCCTTGAGGCGTTTGAACAGGATGTGAGGCTTCCTGTGCTTCCCACAGGTTATCATGGGGCCTTCTGTATGCTGCTTTGGTGACCGCCATGTCCGTCCTGATGGCCGTCATCGCCACATACAGTTTACTCTTCCCTAAAAGTGACTTCTTGGTCATCTTTTTCCTCATCTTCCTCTATGGCATATCTTCAGTGAGTCCTCCTGGAAGCAGACTTTAGAGACTTTTGAAGCGTCTTGTCCTCTAAGCTTCTGTTTGTCCCTCTCAGATCTTTTTCTCCTTCATGCTGACGCCGTTGTTCAAGAAGCCAAAGTTTGCGAGCACGGTGGGCTCCATGCTGACGGTGGTGTTTGGCTGCATGTCGCTGTTCACCGTGCTGCTGCCAGACTTCCCACAGCTGCTGGTCTGGCTGCTCTGCCTGCTGTCTCCCAGTGCCTTCTCCATGGGGATCGCTCAGGTTGGCCGCACACACCCCCCGCCCCACATCCTCCCATCCTCCCATCTTCCATTGCTGCCGGATCCAACAGTCAGATTCCCTGTAAAGGATGTGAATGGTGTTTTTCCAGGTGGTTTACCTGGAAGCGCAGGGAGATGGCGCTGTGTTCTCCTCCTTGACCAACGGGCCCCATCCGCTCTACGTCCCTCTGCTCATGCTAGCTCTGGACTGCGTTCTTTACCTTCTGCTGGCCATCTACCTGGACCAGGTTCTGCCCGGTGAGTGAAGACAATACTAAAAAAATAATGCTTTCTATAGAAACCATCCTGCATCAGGCTGTTATTCAGCGGATGACGTGTTGAAGTAGATCCTGTTAGTGCGTCCGTCACTCTGCATGGAATCCATGTTGCTCCATTAGTCTGGTTCTTCTGCACTAAGGGAGATCAGAGGCGATATATTATGACCGTTGGCTGAATCGGCCTGGCTGATGGTTGATCAGTCTGATGACATCATCTACATTTTCACATGTGAGCTTCAGGCCGACTCCTCCACGCCTCTGTGGAGCTTTTGGTGCTCAGTAACGGAAGAGGAAGGGTTCATCCAGACTGGTCCACAACGTCAGGAATCCAGAACCATCCAGAATCTGAAAGGCAAAGGCGTACTATAAAACCTGAAAGTAAACATTGAAGAAACCTTATGTTTTACTGGGAAATGATGGTTTATGTTCTGAGTAGGGATGCAGGATATAATCGGCCCCCTATCGGTATCGGCCTTAAAACTGAATATCGGACATCGGCCCCCCCACCGATATTTAACCCGATATTTGATCAGCTTCTGAGTTTCTAAAGTCTAAAAAATAAATACTTCTTTTTCCTCAAAAGCTTCTTTTTTACAGACTTAAAAACTTCTAAAGACGAGGGAAAAAATATTGATCCATTAAAATATCCCAATATCTTCATATGCTGATATATTGCCATTTAAAAACACCATATCAATCTCTTTTACTAATGAAATATTGCTATATGTCATCGTTATGCTACGAAATCCCCCGAAAATTCACCAAATGTTGCCATATTTTTATATGTTGATATATTGACGCGGTATCGATCTATTTTACTAACAAAATCTCACAAGAATTTGCAAAATATCACGAGAGTTTGTAACAGAACGATGAAATTTCACCAGATTTTGAAAGTAAAATAGATCGATACCGCGTTTTTAACAATCTATTTGATATCAGCATATGAAAATATATTTGAGTATATTATTTTTCAAAGTGTCAGAAATGGATAACAAAACTGCTATTTTCAATGACTACTTATTTTCGTCCAGCTTTAACATCGGTATCGATATCGGTTATCGGCTACATGAGTTTTAAAATATCGGCATATCGGCCAAAATCCCAATATCGTGCATCCCTAGTTCTGAGTTTTAATATCTGGGACTAATTTTAGCTTTGAGGAGAGAAACGACAGACATGAATTCATCCCAATAAAACGATTTGATTTAGAGATGAAGATCTGTGTTTTATTTAATTTAACTTAATGTCAGATATGTTCTATTTTATTTACAGGTTTATTGAAATAATCCTAAACTAATTAAGTGATTGATTAAAGGTTAACTGGAGAATAGACTGTAAAATATTCCTCTAGCTGAGAGAGAAACCAGCTTAGAGCAGGAATTATACCAAGATTGTAAAACAAAATGTAAACATTTTCCATTTAATTAAAGTGGAAAAGTTTTAGTTTCACCTGGTTTAATTTAGTAAAAAAATCTTCTTTAATGAATGTTTTTTCTATCTGATTATTGATCAGTTATTCAGAAAATAAAGGATTTGCTAAATAATGGTTAGTTGCAGCCCTGGACCGAAGGAGTTCAGACATTCTGGTCCGTTTCAGGGACTGGTTTCCATCTAAAGTACCAGAATTGATCTAAACTGTCAGGAAAATGCTGAGGTTTGGGTAATAAAGTCTGCAGCATTTTGAAAGGGGAAGAAATATTTAACAATTCAGTTTTTAATCTGCCTGAAGGAGATAATCTACCAGCCGAACACGCTGCCTCTGCTTTTAGGAGCATAAATTCACTGAAATCATGTGTCTGATGTTCAGGTGAGTTTGGGATTAAGAGGTCCGTGCTCTACTTCCTGAAGCCGCGTTATTGGTCCAAACACAGGAAGCGCTACGTGGAAGTGAGCTCCGTGTTCGATGCTGAGGCCAACGGCGCTCCAGTTGGAGATGAGAACGTGGAGCCCGTCTCCCCGGAGTTCAGAGGGAAAGAAGCCATACGGTAATATTCCACTTCTACACGTTAGGAAGGTTTAGAAATCAGGTCCTGCTAGCATCCAGCTAACATCTGCTTCACAACAGCTCAGTCTATGTTATATGGGAGATATACTGGAGTTCATCTGAAAGCAAGATAAAAAACTACATCTGAGGGAAAAGGTTAAAAAAAAGAGACGATCTGTCTGATCTTCTTGGTTCACGCTGTTTTAAAATCTGTGCTGAACCAGAGAAACCAGTAAAACCTGCAGGCAGCGGCGCTCCTGTTCCCACTCTGAGGATTCCTGCTTTATATCAGGGAAATTTTAACTAATGGTTAATGTTCAAATAAACATTTGAGGTAGATTTGTCGCTGCCAGGTTTTTCTTGTGTTTATTGTAAAGTCAGTTTTAAATTTTTATTTTAATTGGCCTTAAAAAGTCTTAAAGTCCTGATTTTAACTGGCCTCATGCTGTGGGAACTCTGGTCTGATGCGTTTTGGCTAATCTTCATCTGAAATCTCTGCTAACAGCTTTTACTGAACCTCTGTTGCTCCGACAGGATCAGCAACATCCGGAAGGTTTACAAAGACAAGGAGAAAAGCATGGAGGCTCTGAGAGGTGAGCCGTGGCGTCTGAAGCTCGCCACGTCTGGCGGTTCGTCTGCTGATGCTCTGCTGCTTTCCTCCCTCAGGCCTGACCTTCGATATCTATGAGGGTCAGATCACAGCCCTGCTGGGACACAGCGGCGCAGGAAAGTCCACTCTGATGAACATCCTGTGCGGTATCTGCCCCCCCACCAGCGGCTCGGCGGCCATATACGGCTCCCCCGTGGCGGACATTGCAGAGGGCTCAGAGATGAAGCAGCTGGTGGGAATCTGCCCTCAGTTCAACATCATCTTTGATGTGCTGACGGTGGAGGAGCACCTCAAGATATTTGCTGCCATCAAAGGGATCCCGCCTGCTGACGTCCCCGCTGAGGTAACCGCCGCCATTTTCTGCTGTTTTTACTCAACTGCTTTTATTTATCCCAAAGTTCAGTGATTCAGGAGCGTTCTGTGACGTTCAGAAAGTCTGAATCTTTGTTCCTGACAGGTCACCAGAGTCCTGAAGGACTTGGACTTGGAGAAAATCATGACGGCTCAGGCGAAGAGTCTGAGCGGGGGCCAGAAGAGGAAGCTCTCAGTGGGCATCGCCATCCTGGGAGATCCTAAGGTACCAAGCTTGTTTTTAGCCGGGCTGTACACTGTGCGATTTATTTAATTTTTTTCAATTGTGGCTCGCAACTTCAACTACGACGAAACTGCAGGGTTTCATACGTACGATGTTTGTTCTCACGCTGTGTGACCCGACGCTCTGATGCGATCTACCTGCTCACACTGTACGACCAGAAACCAGGTGGGACTCAGCTCCGCAGTGAGATGGAGCTACTGGGACTCGTCTATCAGGAAGCCATTAGAGTGAAACGCGCTGCCTTGGATATTTGGGTAATTTAGTGCTGAAAGCCCTAAAAAGAAAAGGAGGCGACGTATTTGGACAAAGACATGGCTGAGCTAACGTGGCTACTACGGTCTGTCAGTTTGACAGGAAGAACTCCATTTCACTCATTGCCCCCCCGCCATGCTGCTGGGTTTACATCTAAGAGGAAGAAGAAGAAGAAGAAGAAGAATCCTTGTTGCCCACTGAGCGATTTGCCCACGATGGTTGGGAGAAAGATTGGTCGTTAGAGGCTGATTGCCCCCCCCCGTTACCCCCCGTAAGATACACCATCAGGATGAAAGTCGGCCCGATTAGAAAATTCTTGCAGGACTGAAAAATCGCTCTTAAAAGGGCAAAAAGTCGCACAGTGTACGCCCGGCTTTATCTTCCTTTATGGCGGGGGTCTGTAACCTGCAGCTCCAGAGCCACATGGGGCTCTTTGGACCCTCCCCAATTAAAATAATAATGGCTCCAATTTACACTATTAGAACTAACTAATGAACTGTGGCTCAGAAGCTTTAGTGGTTTTTATTAAGAATATTTGAATTGAATATGTTGGCATTTTAAACCTTGCCCAGGGACTACAGTTGAAAATTAGCTACTTAGCTAACACTGGCTCATTTACAGAAATGTTTATTAATGTGCACTGTCCCTGTTCAAATGAACACGTAAATAAATAAATAAATTTTCACAACAGAGTGACATGTAACGAAAAAAGAAATGTTTTTAGAGCTATTTTTCTTTTAATCAACTTAGAATTTATGTTTTGTAATTATTTTGAAAGCTAAAAATACAAATAAGCTGTATGTTGTTTTAGATGGCGAGATATCTCGTATCGCAGAAAGGAAACAAAAATATTAGGTAGTTTATTTAACCTCTTAACATCCACCTCATTTTGGCTAATCCTCGCCTATTTTGCATCCCCAACTGAAAAAGCAATTAAATTAGGAACGGTAAGCCCAAATTACATGTGCAATACATTATTTGAAAGCTAACCCCCGCTAGTCTCCTAATAAATAAATTAAATTTGGGTGAGTAGAACACAGACCAACCTGCATCAGATCAAACACGACTGAAAGTTTGTTTTTTTTTATTCTCGGAAATGAAAGGTATTTTTTGAACAGCAGTAATAAAGTAATTCTTGAGAAAAGGCAGGTTTAATTGTATTAAATTTGTTCTACATCATGTCAACCTCAAATGCAGAAAATGTCAGACTTCTAGCTATAACAGTTCCAGAGCTGTTGGCTTTGGAACTTAAGGTTTTAAGAGGTTAATTAAAAATTATTTAAAAAAGTATTTTGTGGCTCTAAGCGACTTTTAATTAACCGATTTTAGGACAAAATGGCTCTTTGGATGTGAAAGGTTTGAACAGGAAGAAACCTCCAGCAGAACCAGGCTCAATGTGAGCGGCCATCTGCTGAGGCCCACTGGGGTTCAAGGAGACAGAAGCAGACATAGAAAAAGCTTAATCTCTACCTAAAAAACACCCATAAACATTAAAAATTCTTGGTTAAAATGGAAATAAACATTCAACAGCCTGTTCTAGAACCTACCATTTGGACCAATAGGAAAATAAACTGCAGTAGCCTCTGTTTTACTCCAAGAGGGCAGCACTAAGGTTAAAGGTATTAATATAGCAGCTGTCAGGCTGGTTTATACAGTTCTTCCTGCAGAGAAGCTGGTTTTAGGGTGAGTTACCCTTTAAATATTCTTTCTTCCAACACTCTTTGCTTTATTTCAGTTATTATTGGATTTCTTGTGTCTCTTTGTCAGATTTTGCTCCTGGATGAACCCACTGCAGGGATGGACCCCTGCTCCAGACACCAGGTGTGGTCGCTGCTGAAGAGCCGGCAGGCCGGCAGAGTCATTGTTCTCACCACGCACTACATGGACGAGGCCGACATCCTGGCTGGTGAGAACTGGACCTGTTAGATGCTGCATGCAGAGATCTGCAAGCTGGAAGATGGAGCATTTCTCTGCTCAGCAGGCTTGTTTGATTAACATAAATGTCACTGAGACAAACATTTATTAAAATGCATGTAAGGAATTGATTGTTGGAAATCTGGCAGAACAAGCAGAGAAAGGAGCGTTTATCCATCCTTTAAATGTTTCCATTAGAGGCTGATATTAGAATCCTGGTTTCAGCCAGATTAAGCTGGACGCCGTCTGGGCCTTTGGAAACTTGAGCTAGAGCTTAAACCCCTGCTTTGGTCTTATATTACATGACCTTCTGAATAAAATAGAGATTTTACACACTGAATATTAAAAAGAGAGCCGTTATAAATGATTGACCCAAAAAGATTTCATTGCTCTGACTGGGGCTGAAAATCAGCATTATATCATTTCTTTCTGTTTTCTAACCCACATTTCCTTCCTGTTTACTTCTGGTCTCCATAGAAACGTAGCTGCTGTAGAAAATATCCAATCAAAACAATAACTTCCCAGTTTGAAAACCAGTCCTGTTTAAATGTAGAGCCCAGTTTACTGGTTTCTAGTAACTAGGTTCTAGTTCCTGCTGGTGTTGAGCTTCCTTTGAGCCAAAGTAGTTCCAGGTGAGCAGAGGAACCCTCCTGGTCGCCTTCATGACCCTGAGGTAGTGATGTTAGTAGAAGAGAGAGAAGTAGAGAGTAGAAGAGAAGGGGTGTTTCCGTGTAGCGCGTATCGAGGCTTGCTTCATTAAGGGGAGGGGCCATAATCGATGATGTCCGAAGCCTCGCCACCCCACTATACCACGCGACCGCTTCAGGAAGTGGTTCAGCTCGCCCGTAAACTCTAACAGGCATTTAAACGGCCTCAGGATTCAGTCAACATGTGGGAGTTTGGAGTAGAGCTGCAGTCAGTTGCATAGATTCTAAGAATAGATTGGCTGTAGAAACAAGCAGTCTAGTTGGTTAAAACATTTGCAGTTAGATCAGTTAAAGGCTAGTAGGTAAGTCGCCCTCGCAGGAGGCTCTGGTTCCCACTCCCCACTCGGGTGGATAATGAGCTGCCAGCGTGTCCTTAAGCAAGACCCTTCACACTCATTCCTACTTTGTAAGTCGCTTTGTATAAAATCGTCGCCTAAATACATAATGAATCAATATAATGATCAGAATCTGCGTCTGGTTTCACTTTTATTATTAGTATTCAGTAGAATTCAGCCTCTTTTCTTCAATACAACTAATAACTCAGAATGGATAAATTCCTCCGGTAAAATCTTTACCAATATAAACATGTTAGACATCGTTGGAAAGCTTAGATTCTCCACATTCTGCACACAGCGAGCACCAATAACACAGATATAGCAGCATGTCAGAATATATAGGCCAGAATTTCCCAAACTGAGGTGGATGTTAAGAGGCTTAAAGGAATAGTACACCCAAAACATGATCAGCCTTCATTTTCTACTCACCCCCATGCTGAACAACACTCTGGAGTACTTTTTTGATATCTCAAATGCATCTGGAGATCTGGGAGGCTTCTTGCTGTCTGCTGACATTCAAATAATGGAGGTCTATGGCGCCCGAGACAGAAAGGTCCATAAAAGTCCACAAAAAACGTGTCAATATTCCTCCATACTGCTCGTCCAATGTATTCCAAGTGTCCTGAGTGGGTAGCGTCCAGAATTTACTCGAAACGAAGTCATTTAGAATGTTTTTAGAGCATAAACAGTAGTGTATAGTATTTCCTGTAACCTTTTAATTAGTTACAAGAATGTGATCATTTGAATAAACTACATAAAAGCATGTTTGCGCGCGCTGACTGTGAAATCACCTGTGGAACGTCTTCCTACAGTCGGCTAACTGCTTGTTGTAGCAGCCAGATGCTCCACAGGTAGAGACTTTTACTGCGCGTCTCCATGGGAGTGGGGAGTACCAACATGGCGGATGATGGCTTCACTTTTTCAGGCAATCAGTGGCACAAACGGTTCAATGAGGCTTCGTCTCACATCCCCACAGAAAACCCAGCTGAAGCGTTTTACTGCCACCTAGGGGCTGGAGGGAGAAAGTTGCAGATGTTGTGATTACATGAATTTTTCAACCCTAATTAAAAGTGAACCATTAAGAAAAGTGAAAGTTTCCAGTAACCAGCCTGAAAGGTCAAAGGTCAAATGTGTGGTTTGATTTCAGATCGTAAAGCTGTGATCTCTCAGGGGCAGCTGAAGTGCGTCGGCTCGTCTCTGTACCTGAAGATCAAGTGTGGCGTTGGATATCACCTCAGGTAGGTGGTGGGGTGGGGGGGTCAGCGTGAGGCCTGAGCAGCGAGCCTCAGTCCGCCCCGTGCCCGTTCTCCTCCTCTGCAGGATGTCCATCGCTGAGGGCTGCGATGCAGAGAAGGTGGCGTCGTTGGTGAAGCAGCACGTTCCCAAAGCGACGCTCTGCAGGCAGCATGACGCTGAGCTCACCTTCACGCTGCCCTTCGAGGGCATGAACACCTTTCCAGGTGCGACTCGATTCTCACCGCGCCGCCTCCGACTCGGCCGGACGCTCGGTTAATGTTTCTGATCTGTTCTCCCCAGGCCTGTTCTCAGAGCTGGACTCTCAGCCGCAGCTGGGGATTAAGAACTACGGCGTTTCCATGACAACGCTGGAAGATGTTTTCCTGCGCCTGGAGTCGGAGGCTGAGGTGGATCAGGCCGGTCAGTGAGCGGCGCCGCAGTTCTGCAGACATGAGCACTTCGTCTGAGTAAAACGGCTTCCTCTTTCAGACTACAGCGTGTTCCACCGGGAGCCGGCGGAGGACGACGGCGACGCGTTGTCTGTGGACGACACCGACCAGCGGCTGCTCACCTTCTCAGACAGCAAGTCGGACATGGTGTCGGGTCACGCTCTGTGGAGGCAGCAGTTCAGCGCCGTGGCCTGGCTGCACATGCTCAACGTGCGGCGGGAGTGGAAGGCCTACCTTTACACGTGAGGAGACGGCGTGCGGAGGGGAGCCGTTAGCTGACGGGAAACGCTCCGGTGACTGGTTCAGGTCAGAGACAGTGACGGCGTTTTCCTGTCTTTCAGCCTGGTTCTCTTCCTGCTCTTCTTCTCTGCGATTCTGGTCGTGTCGCTGGTGAGCGGAAACATCCAGATCCACTCACAGGAGCGGGAGTTTCAGCCCATCTACCTGCTGAAGAAGAACGAGGCGCCTCACAGATACGTCACCAGCCTCCTGGTCAAGAACTCGACCGGTGAGCGACCAGCTGAATGGCTGAAGTTCAAAGATGCCTGAACTGTTGGGTAACGATGCTATTTCCTTTCTCCAACAGACTCTGATATTTCTGACTTCATCCACAACCTGGAATCCCAGGATATCAAGGTGGAGTTGATGAAGCAGACCGACTACATGGCTGCGGCGCCGCACAGCGCCGCCGTGGAGGTCTCCGGGTCCAGTAAGGTGAGTAGCTGTGGTCTGATCTCTGGCAGCTCCATGCAGGACGGTTTCCTCTGACTGAGCTCTGTCTGCTGCGTCTCAAAGGGTTTCAGCTACAGCATCGCTTTCAACAGCACCACCGTTCACTCGCTGCCCATGGCCGCCAACGTCCTGAGCAACGCCCTCCTCAGAGGCCTGAACGGAACCGGCCAGATCCGGACCTGGACCAAACCCTTTGATTATGTGAGTCTCCAGCAGAGTGAGGATCTGAGGCTTTAATACGTGACTGAACGCTTCCTTCCTGCAGCAAATCCCGGACATCACGTCCTACGCTCTGGTCTACATAGAGGCCATCATGCTGGGGATGCTGGCGGCCGGAATGCCGGCGTATTTCGCAATGGATCACACCCGGGATCGTGAGGTAATCCTGCAGTTATGGTGACTTCCTGCTGGTAGAAAGTTTCTGTTCTGCATCCAGGAAGGAAAAGTGGGGCTAATGCTACATTCACACCAAACGCAGCCATTTTACAGTCAAAGTCATTGATTGACACGCATCAAGGTGCATCAAAGGTCCTACAGCAGGAACAGCGCCTCTGGAGCATCAGAGGCGCTTCAGAAGCAGCAGCTGCTGGACGCGCCTCATCATCCAATCAGAGAAGCTGATCTGGGAGCTGGCAGGGAGTCAGACGCAGCACTGCTGATGCAGAGCGCTATGATCACTCCTCTGAAACAGTTTATTAACGCCTAAATTAACTTCAAATGTAGAAACCTGCCGGCAGAATATGTTGGCTTTTATTATCCTGCTGCCTGCAGTTTGATAACCTGACTCCGCCAGATGGATTTGCTCCGCATATCTGGAAACCTTCCGTTGAAGTAATTTTGGGAAGGGGTGAAAATACTGGTTAGCTGATTGGCCTATGTTGGTGATAGACGGGCCAAATAGACCAATCAGATCAACGAAGCATATGACGTACTAACATCCAAGCTACTCTTGCTAAAACCAGCCGGGAGAAGAGCAAAAACATCTTTTCCTCTGAGAAAAGCCTCCAGAGCAGTGTTTTGCTCTTCCTTCAGTGAAGAAATACTCTGTAATTCCCATAAAACTTGCTCGATAGCCACGCTAACGCTAGTTTCATCGGCTGAAGCCGCCATGTTCTTTAGACTGAACTGTGGCGCTTCTCGTTGCGTCACACCTCAACCCGCCTCAAAGCCAACGCTGATTGGACGTTCGTTTGGTGAACGGCTCCAAATTTTCTTTAACGGAGAGTCTCCAGACTGATCTGCGAGTGAAACCTTGGGGGTCTGAGCGGCTCCCACAGAGAAATAATCTTTGAAGGCAGGATGGTAATCTGGATGAACTGACTGCACAGACCATGTTTTCAGGAGGACTTTCTCACTTCAACATAGATTCTAACTACTTTCTACCCGTTGATCACAGCTAATATAGCAAAGCTGCTCTCTGGCATCGAACACAGGAGCAGCAGAAACATCTGGACTCACTTTACTGGACGGCTGACCTTAGTGAGGATCAGAGATGAAGCAGCAGAAGCTTCATTGATGCTGAAAGTGCGTTTGGTGTGAACGTAGCGTAACCCAGCAGAGGTTGAAGTTCTGCTGTTTTTCAGTGACTCAGCGCTGCCCTCTGCTGGTTCCTCCAGAAGCTCTGAAATGTTTAAGCCTTTCTGTTTCTGCACAGCCTTCATTTGTCCTCCCCTCAGATAAAGTGCCGCTCAACGCTGCGGATCTCCGGCCTGCTGCCCTCGGCCTACTGGTGCGGCCAGGCGGCCGTGGACGTCCCCTTCTACTACCTCATCCTGTCCTCCATGAACCTCATCCTCTTCTCCTTCCACTCTGCAAACCTGCCCACAACCAGCAACCTCACAGCCGCGGTCAGTGCCGCCGGGATCAGTACCATCTGACCCTGCTCCCCATGCAGGAGGAGTGATTAACCCCTCCCTCTCTCTCAGGTCCTCTGCACCATTGGCTTCGGCCCGGCCATGATCCTCTTCACCTACGTGGTTTCCTTCGGGTTCGCACGAGTTCAGAGCAACAGAGACTTCTTCTCGTTCATCTCCATGATGGTGAGGCTAGAAGAACAGGAATGTTGGCTCCTCCTCCCTGCTGCTGTGTGTAGCTTTGTGTTAGCGGATGGTTTCTGCCTCAGGTGTGCGTGGTGTCGGCCTCCATCGTCCAGCTGTTCTTTCTGGTGGAACTCCCTGAAATGGCCAGATCGCTGCACAACGTCCTGTGCCTGTTGATCCCCCTCTACCCTCTGATGGGCTGCCTCAGCTGCATCACCAAGGTGGGAGCGGAAAACATGGCCGCCGTCTTTGCTTAAAACATTACAAATCAGCTGTCTGAGGGGCGGGGTCAGAGTAGAGACGTTGATTAATCATTTCATTTCAATTCAGTGTATTTCTATAGCTCCAATTCCCATCATGTCGTCTCAGGTCACTTTATAGATCCAGATCATCCAGTCAGATTGATTCAAAGTTTTCTATCTAAGGAAAACCAGCTGATTGCATCGACTCATTGACTCTTCAGCAATCCCTCACACTAAGCATGCTTGTAGTGACAGTGGAGAGGAAAAACTCCCTTTGAACAGGAAGAAACCTCCAGCAGAACCAGGCTCAGTGTGAGCGGCCATCTGCTGAGGCCCACTGGGGTTCAAGGAGACAGAAGCAGACATAGAAAAAGAAGCATAGATACAAAAGGCAACTGTCAACCAGCTCCACAGGCGGCCCCGTCCAGGAAACACACAGCCAGGCAGACGAGCTCCGAGCCAGCTCCCATGTCAGAGGATGAAGAGAGCACATCCAGTTAGTCACCGTCAGAGAAACAGGACTACACTGGAAAACAGGCCAAGCTCCAACATCTAGAAACAAAGGTGTTGATGGCAGCAGCACAGCTGATATTTCTCTCCAGGATGGAGTCACAGCCAAACAGGAACAGACCAGATGAAGCTACTATGAGAAAAAGCAGAGAGAGCAGAACGTTAGAGATTGAACTAACAGATTCTGCAGAGTGGGAGAATAGAGATAGAATGAAGCAGAATGATGAAAAAGGGGTCCCTATGTCCTCCAGCAGTCTAAGCCTATAGCAGCAGAACTATAGAGATAGCTCAGGATAACCTGAGCCACTCTAACTAGAAGCTTTATTTCCTTTGACAAATCTGATGGAAACCTGTTTTAATCTGAGCAGAGATGATTGGAATGATCAGGAATATCACCGTTTTACTAAAGATCTCATTTGCTGGGGCCTTAATTAACGCGTGGATGCAAAAAAAATCCCATATAGCAGGTTTGCTTCATTGCTGGACTTTTCCTTTTCCAGGCAACGTTCCTTCCCATTCTGTATGAGGAGAACTTCCTGTGGAAAAGTCTGCTGATTTCCGTTGTGGCTGTAAGTCTTTCCTTCTCTGGTCTCTGAGGTGTGAACAGGTAGAGACGCCTTTCAGCACTGCCTCTGTTTGTTCTCAGCCCTACCTGCAGTGCATCGTCCTGCTGTTCCTGTTGCGCTGGCTGGAGGTCCGGTACGGAGGGCGGGCGATGAAGAGCGACCAGCTGTGCAGGTGGTCATCACATTCCCCGCTCCGTCGCTTTAAGCGTCAGAACGCTGATGTTCACTCCTGAACTTTGACAGGATCTCATCGCGGCCGAAGCCCAAACCGGAGTGCAGCTCAGAGGAAGGGCTCAACGAGGATGAGGACGTTTGCATGGAGAAGGCCAGAGTGAAGGAGGCGCTAACCTGTCAGGCCTGCGAGGAGGTGAGGTCCTTCAAAATAAGAGCTGACAGGTTGAAAATGAAGGAGTGAATAATTCCCGTCTTCCAGAAACCGATGGTGGTCGTTAGTAACCTGAGAAAGGAGTTCCAGTGCCAGAAAGAAGGCTTCTCTCTCACCAAGAAGACTAAAGTGGCCACTAAGAACGTATCCTTCTGTGTTGGCAAAGGTACGCTCATGAGAAAACACCTTTCGCTGTGGGCTGCGTTCAAACCAGCAACCTGCTGCTGTTCTCCTCAGGGGAAGTTCTGGGACTGCTGGGCCCCAACGGAGCAGGGAAGACCACGGTCATGCACATGCTGTCAGGCGACACGGACCCCACGGCCGGCCGGGTGCGCTGAGACTCCGCCTGGACGTTAGAAAAGGCCTGAAGCAGCTGAAAGCTAACGTCTTCTCTCTGGGTCCAGATCCTGATGGGAGACTACAGCGCCGACTTCAGTCCGCTGGACGATCCTCTGGACCATGTGGGCTACTGTCCCCAGGTCAACCCTCTTTGGCCCCGGATCACCCTGCAGGAACACCTGGAGATCTACGCCGCCATTAAAGGGCTGAAGGGCCACGAGGTCCCGGGCATCATCAAACGGTCAGTCATCAGCTCCGCCACCGCCGCTCAGACCGAAGCATCACACTCAGATCCTTAAAAAGCTTTAAATCTTCAATAGAAAGTCTTAACTGGTATTAAAATGTCTGAAATCCGTCTTTCTAAGGTCTTTAAATTGTTTCATAAATAGGATTTTAATTTTGTAATCCATATCCAACATTAAAATATTTAATTTAACAAACAGCTCGCTGTAACCGGGGTCTTTAATTAACAATCAGCAAATGTTTTACCTGGCGAGTTAACGCCAGAGCGCCGTTCGCCATGAGGCGAGCAACTGTTTGAACCACAGCTGCGCTTCAGTCGTGTCCGTTCTTCTTTTAATTTAGTAAGTCTCCCATCTGTCTCTTCCGCAACATTGAACAAATTTCCCGCTCCCCGCTCAGCAGGATGTTCGCTCATTCGCTCCGCCGCTCAGAGTTTCTCCAGGACGCTTCGCTCAAAATCCGTTCCGCGCTCACTTTCATTTTCCTGCCGCTGCGGCGAAATCGCTCCACACTCACTCTGACGTTCAGCAGAAGGCGTTTTCTGACCTTTTTCCTTCCTGTTATTCTGCCGGGGCGCTGCGACACTCGGCGTTTGATTTACTGATGTGACCGAAACACGTGGATCGTCTTATTTAACTGGCATTAAAAAAGGTCACTTCTCATCTCATTGCAAATGAGATAATAGTTATAAAGCATGTATGTGATTCATTTTATAAAACAAGCTCTTACCAACAACCTTCACTTTATTTAAATCCACTCATTGTTCAGTATAGTTCATGTTTTTATGATATTTTATCCCACAATATGTAATCCTCGCCTTGGCGTCTTTTATCTCCAGCTGAAGTAGATCTATAGATCTATAGAGCATCTCTAATGGATCAGATTTCTGCATTGGCTGTAAACGCATCCACTTCCATCTGCGACTGCGCAGTCATTTCCTCCTCTTCCTCACATTCAGCGCTGCTGGTACCGGCGGTCAAACATGTCCAAGAAATCACACTTAAATCAAATAAAATGTTATTTTAAAAATGTTATAATCCAACATTTTAATTGACGTTGTGAGCGAACTGGAGCGAAATCCTCGCCCCACTGCTCCCTGCATTCTCTGGTCCCTTCGTCTCTCACACGTCGATAGGTACAGAGAGCCCGCCCCCAACACCCTGTCATTCAACAGCAACTTTATATAGTTTAAAGTTGGAGCATCCAGACCTTCTATAAGGAGGAGGAGCGAGGATATACAGCCCCCAGGAAAAACAGAACCTTAATGGAGACGGCTGTAGAAGAGAATGGCTTATTTATGACAATGATGCTAAGCTAATGTTAGCGTGCAGCAGATATGCAAAGCTGAACTAACACGTTTAATTTTTCGCCGGCTGTCAGTCTATAAAACTGGAGATCATCCGTGGAAAAAACGCAGTAAACGCTGCATTCGCTGGATGCTCATATCTAAAGCTACGTTCACACCGTACGCAGCAGGAGCAGCTAGAACGCGCAAACACTGCTTCATTTTGATGCTTCTACCAGTTTAGTTCTGACGCACGGCTGAAGCATCTCTGCTGCTCTGGCTGCGCGGTGGTAAAGTGGGTCTGATGCGCGGTGGGCGGAGCTACTCTATCCTTTCTCTGCCTGGAACAATGGCGGCTATATTAGCTGTGATCAGCGGGTAGAAAGTAGTTAGAATCTAGATGAAGATATTGTTTAGCACTGCCGACGCCACTGCAAGGCTACACTCATGAAATATTGTGCTGTTTTTTTTTAGTTGTTGTCTTTGTGTTCAGTCTAACAGATAAAAATATGTTGCTCTTTTTAATAAAATTTAATGAATTACTAAATTAACTAACTTTATTTAATGAATCTACATTAACCTTTAAATGTTTGACTGGTTAAGCTTCTGTCACACCGAGCTGATTTCTCCAGCGTCTGCCTGACGTCCCTGAATCTCCTAAAACCTTTGCAGACGCTGAACTCTATTCTGGGAGAATTCATAACGAATCCAGAGCTTCTGTCCAACGGCGGCCTAACTTCTGCATATTCTGACTCCATATATAAAGTGTTAAAGTCTTGAATTGAACTTTATGCTGCAGGAACCCTGAACCTGCAGCGGCTCTGCAACCTCCTAGGAGTGAAATCATTTCCAAAGAGAAACTAAAACATCTGTTAATTAGCTGCATGTTTTTATTACGATGTTGAATGCTTTGCTGAAAAATCAACATCATTTATTTATTTTTTCCCCCAGAGTGTCTAATGCGTTGGAGCTGAAGGAGCATCTAGATAAACCGGCAAAGAGTCTCTCTGCAGGACTGAAACGGAAGGTGAGAAGAGCTCTGATGATCAGATCCATGCTTGGTGTTAGAGCCGCTCCTGCAGCCCTGCTCCATGTGCTTCCAGCTGTGCTTCGCTCTGAGCATGATCGGAAACCCGCAGATTGTCCTGCTGGACGAGCCGTCGTCAGGAATGGATCCCAAGTCCAAGCAGCGGATGTGGTGAGCCTCAGACGTCCCTCTGCTCTGTGATGGCTCTGCTGGAGACCTTCTGCTAAACAACCTTTGGTTTGAAAACATGCATGAAGGACGGCGTGTCTGTGTGCAGGAGGGCCATGCGTGCTGCATTCAGGAACCACCAGCGAGGAGCTATCCTCACCACACACTACATGGAGGAGGCTGAGGCCGTGTGCGACCGCGTTGCCATCATGGTCTCCGGCCAGCTCAGGTTTTTTCTCCTTCGGGATTTTCCCACCAGATTCCAGAGGACTTCTGGCCTCCAGGTTCCTGCAGCTTAACTGTTTCTCTCCAATCAGATGCATCGGCACCATCCAGCATCTGAAGGCCAAATTCGGCCAGGGCTACAGTCTGGAGGTGAAGCTGAGGGAGGAGCTGACGGGACTCCAGCAGGAGGCGCTACTGCACCAGGAGATCCTCCGAATCTTTCCGCACGCCGCCCGACAGGAGAGGTAACTGTAGGACTGCATTAAGCATTTCGTCTTCATTTAATTCTTTACATCCCAAATAAAAAAACAACATAAAGATGTTGCCTGAACATCCAACCTCCATCCAACCCCTGAACATCCAACCTCCATCCAACCCCTGAACATCCAACCTCCATCCAACCCCTGAACATCCAACCTCCATCCAACCCCTGAACATCCAACCTCCATCCAACCCCTGAACATCCAACCTCCATCCAACCCCTGAACATCCAACCTCCATCCAACCTCTGAACATCCAACCCCTGAACATCCAACCTCCATCCAACCCCTGAACATCCAACCTCTGAACATCCAACCCCTGAACATCCAACCCCTGAACATCCAACCCCTGAACATCCAACCTCCATCCAACCCCTGAACATCCAACCTCCATCCAACCCCTGAACATCCAACCTCCATCCAACCCCTGAACATCCAACCCCTGAACATCCAACCTCCATCCAACCCCTGAACATCCAACCTCCATCCAACCCCTGAACATCCAACCTCCATCCAACCCCTGAACATCCAACCTCCATCCAACCCCTGAACATCCAACCCCTGAACATCCAACCTCCATCCAACCCCTGAACATCCAACCTCCATCCAACCTCTGAACATCCAACCCCTGAACATCCAACCCCTGAACATCCAACCTCCATCCAACCCCTGAACATCCAACCTCCATCCAACCCCTGAACATCCAACCTCCATCCAACCCCTGAACATCCAACCTCCATCCAACCCCTGAACATCCAACCCCTGAACATCCAACCCCTGAACATCCAACCTCTGAACATCCAACCTCTGAACATCCAACCCCTGAACATCCAACCTCCATCCAACCCCTGAACATCCAACCTCCATCCAACCCCTGAACATCCAACCTCCATCCAACCCCTGAACATCCAACCTCCATCCAACCCCTGAACATCCAACCTCCATCCAACCCCTGAACATCCAACCTCCATCCAACCCCTGAACATCCAACCTCCATCCAACCCCTGAACATCCAACCCCTGAACATCCAACCTCCATCCAACCCCTGAACATCCAACCTCTGAACATCCAACCTCTGAACATCCAACCCCTGAACATCCAACCCCTGAACATCCAACCTCCATCCAACCCCTGAACATCCAACCTCCATCCAACCCCTGAACATCCAACCTCCATCCAACCTCTGAACATCCAACCCCTGAACATCCAACCCCTGAACATCCAACCCCTGAACATCCAACCCCTGAACATCCAACCCCTGAACATCCAACCCCTGAACATCCAACCTCCATCCAACCCCTGAACATCCAACCTCCATCCAACCCCTGAAAACCCAAACCCCTTTGGAACATCCCCAACCCTTGAACATCCAACCTCCCTGAAAAAACCCAAAACCCGGGAACCCTTTCCAACCCCTGAACACCCAAAACCTCTAAAACACCCAAACCCCCAACGGGAAAACATCCAAACCCCCCTGAACATAAAAAAACCCCTGAACATCCAACCCCCCGGGAAAACCCCAAACCCCTCTGAACACCCAAACCTTTCCCTAAACCCAACCCAAAACCCTTTTGAAACCCCAACCCCCCTGAACACAAACCCCAAAACTTTTCCCAACCCCCTAAAACATAAAAAACCCCCCGGGAACACCAAAACCTCCACCCCCCCCCCCTTTGAACCCCAAAATTTAAAAAAACCCCCCAAAAAATCCAAAAACCTCCCACCCAACCCCTTTAAAACCCACCCAACATCCACCCCAACCACCTGAAAAACCCAACCCCCAAATAAAAAACCCCCTTTAAAACTTTTCCAAACCTCCACCCAACCCCATGATAAAAACCCCAAACCTTTCCCACCCAAAACCCCTAAACCCATAAACCCCTCCTTTCCAAACCCCCCGAACTTCCAACCTCCATCCCCCTTTCTAAACCCATCCAACCTCCACCCAAAATTTTTCTGAAACCCAACCCCTGAACAAAAAACCCCCTAAAACAAAAAAACCTCCTTCCAACCCTATTCAACACCCAAAACCTCCACCCAAACCCTAAAACCATCCAACCTCCCCCAAACCCCCCCTTTGAACATCCAACCCTCTTTCCAAACCCCCAACTAAAACTTTCCAAACCCCACCCAAAACCTCAAACACCCCCCCCTTTGAAAAATCAACCCCTGAAAAACCCAAACCTCTGAACTTTCCAAAATTTAGGGAACCCACCCAAAACCCCTGAACACCCCAAACCTCCACCCAAACCCCTGAACACCCAAACCTCCCAACCAAACCAAACCTTAAAAAATTTTTAACCTCCACCCCAAAACCCCCCTTCTGAACACCCAAAACCCTCCATAAAAACCCCTAAAAATACCCAAAAACCTCCCCCAACCCCGGGAACATCCAACCCCCACCCCCCCCCCCCCCTGAACATCAAACCCCCCCAATCCATCCCCCTGAACACCCAACCTCCTGAAAAATCCAACCTCTCCCCCCCCTTAAACCCACCCAAACCCCCCTAAAACACCCAAACCTCCACCCAAACCCCCTTAAAACTTTCCAACCCCTGAACTTTCCGCCCCCCCTGAAACCCAAAACCACCTAAAACATCCAACCCGTAACACCCAACCCTGAACCCTTTAAACCCTCCATCCAACCCTTGATTATAAACCTCCATCCAACCCCCTGAACACCCCAACCCCCACCCAAATCCCTGAACACCCAACCTCAAAACCCCAACCCCCTGAAACATCCCAACCTCCACCCAAACCCCCTGAACATCCAACCCCCCATCCCAACATCTGAAACATCCACCCTTGAACATCCTAACCCCTGAAAAAAAAATCCAACCCCCTTTCCCAACCTCTGGAATCACCCAACCCCTGAACACCCCAAACCCCCTGAAACATCCAACCCCCAGGGAACACCCAAACCCTCCCCCAAAAACCCCTGAACACCCAAACCCCCGGGAACATCCCCCCCCTGAACTTTCCACCCCCACCCCAACCTCTAAACCCACCAACCCCTGAAAAACCCAAACCCCCTTTGAACTTTTCCAAACCTCCTTTCCAACCCTCGGGAACATCCAACCCTAAAAACATAAAACCCCTAACACCCAAACCCGTGAACATCCTTTTTTTAACCCCAACCCCCCTTAAAAACATCCAACCCCTGAAAAATCCCGACCCCTAAAACACCCAAACCTCCACCCAAACCCCCTAAAACACCCAACCCCCCATTAAACCCCCTCTGAACACCCAAACCCCCTGAAACACCCCAACCCTTTCCTTTCAACCTTTTGGAAACACCCAACCCCATCCCAACCCTTTCCACCCAACCCCTAAAACATAAAACCCCCATCCAACCCCTGAAAACCCAAACCTCCATCCAACCTCTGAACATCCCCCCCTTAAAAACCCCAAACCCCCCATCCAACCCTGAACATCCAACCTCGGGAAACATCCAAAACCCCTTTGAACACCCAAACCCCCCCTGAACACCCAACCCATTAAAAATTCCAAAACCCTAAAACTTTCCCAAAACCTCCATCCAACCCTTTTGAACATCCAACCCTGGAACATCCAACCTCCCTTCCAAAACCCCTGAAATAAACCCCTCTAAAATTTCCAAACCCCTGAACATCCAACACCCTTTTGAACACCCAAAACCCCTGAACACCCAACCCCCATCCCAAAACCCCTAAAACTTTAACGACCCCCGGGAAACTTTTCCAACCCCCACCCAAACCCCCTGAACATCCAACCTCCACCCAAAACCCCCTGAAAAACCCAAAAACCCCTTTAAACACCCAAAACCTCCAAAAAACCCCCTGAAAATTCCAACCTCCACCCAAACCCCTTTAAACATCCCCCCCTTCATAAACCCCGGGGAAACCAAAACCTCCATCCAAACCCCTGAACTTTTCCCAACCCCCACCCAAACCCCTAAAAACACCCAAAACCCCCTTTCCAACCTTGAAACCCCCAACCCTCCCAACCCCCAAATCGGGAAATCCAAACCCCCCCTTTTGAAAATCCAACCTCCATCCCAAAACCCCTGAACACCCAAACCTCCACCCAAACCCCCTGAACATAACCTCCACCCAAACCCCCCCTCCCCCCCCCCTCCCCCCCCCCTAACCCCAACCCCCCTTTGAACATCCAACCCCTGAAACAAAAACCCTGAACACCCAAAACCCCCTGAACTTCCAACTCTAAACATCCACCCGGGAACACCCAAACCCCCTGAACACCCCAACCTCCACCCAAAAACCCCCTAAAACATCCAACCTCCCCCCAAACCCTAAACCCTTTTTAACCTCCACCCAAACCCCCCTAAAACATAAAACCCATCCAAACCCTAAAACCCCCCAAAACCTCCACCCCAACCCCTGAACACCCAAAAACCTCCACCCCAACCCCCCCTAAACATCCAACCCCCCACCCCAACCCCCCTGAACACCCAAACCCCCCTGAACACCCCAACCTCCAAATCCAACCCTGAACACCCAAAATTTCTTGAAAAACCCAAAACCTCTAAACCCATCCAACCCCCTGAAAAACCCAAACCCCCCTTGAACATCCAACCCCTGAACACCCCAACCTCCATCCAACACCCTGAACATCCAACCCCTAAACCCATCCAACCTCCACCCAAACCCCCTGAAAAATCCAACCTCCATCCAACCCCCTGAAAAATTAAACCCTCCTTTCCAACCCCTGAAAAAACCCCAAAACCCCCATCCAACCTCTAAACCCCCAAACCCCTGAACACCCAAAACCCCTGAACACCCAACCTCCACCCAAACCCCTCTGAAACCCAAAACCCCCTGAAAAACCCAAACCCTCCATTAACCCCGGGAACACCCAAAAACCCCTGAAACATCCAACCCTTGAACACCCAAACCTTGAACATCCAACCTTTTTGAACACCCAAACCCCCCCTTGGAAATCCAACCCCCATCAACCCTGAAACCCACCCCTTGAACACCCAAAAC